AAAATATTTTTTTAAATTTTTCGCTTTTTATTAAATTTCTTTATATTTTTAGAAATCTATTTTACGCGATTAAATTACTTGTAATTTTAATAAAAGAATAATTGTGGTTAATTTTTAATGTTTAGTATCATCGATAAAAAGAATAGAATTTCTTGATAATTTATTTATTTAATAAATAATTTATTAGGCAAATTTTCTTTTATCATCTCCTCCATTTTCATTTATTTTAATGAATTTTGATAAAAATGATAAATGATAACGTTTATATAGGTTAGAAATTTCAACGAATTTCAACGAATAATCCAAGAGTTTTTTTTTTCGTTATTCTTCTTTTAAGTCGATTTTATTTTTTCATAAATTTTTATATTTATATATCATAAAAATATATTATAGAGTGATATTTTGTAAGATTTCCGTGCTCTTCTTTTTTTTATTAGCTGGTAATAATTCTGATTTGGTTTACTCGGCTCGCCGATTTGCAACGTTTGCCTTCGCCTTTCGCTCATTTTACATTCACTAACTAAAATATAGAAATAAAATGAAAGAAAATTCTTTCGAAAATGCAAACAGTAGTTTATAATTTTAATTTTATAATTGTAATAATATTTTTGCATTAAAATTTTAAATTATATTCAATAATTTTATTTTAAATTATACAATTAAAGTATTAAATTAAATTATAAAAAAAAATTATATTCTAAAATATTAAAAAAACGATGATAAAATGATAATAAATGATAATAATGATAAAATGATAATAAATAATAATAATGATAATAAATTTTATTGAATTTTTTTTTTGATATTTGTGAAGTTTTGATAGTTTTGATTCATAAGAATTTCCTATTTCTTGTTTTTCTTTGTTTTTATTTTTATTTTATATTTTTATTTAACTATTTCTTTTTCTTATTTTTCTAAAAAAAATATTTTTTTTTTCAAATGAATTACAAAAATAGGATTTTTTATTCGATAAATATTCTAATACTTTCTGCTTTTTACGAATGAAAAATTAGAATTAGAAATTTAGAATTTAGAATTTGAAATCCGAAAATTTTTTATTTATTTCTTCGGTTAAAGCAAAAAGGCGGCTCATATAAATTAATTATTGCTCTCAGCGAGAATCCGAGAAATAATTTACATTTGTATTTAATTTTTTTTTTTTTTTTTTAGGAAAATTTGATAAAATTAAGTAACGAACGCTCAAATAAGGGGAATTTCACTGATTAATTTCTTCGCTATAAAAATATTTATTTTTATATTTGCATTGGTTATATTTGTAAAAAAAGATTTATGACTATTTTTATTTTTTTCGTTTTTTTCAATTGATAGATTATTTTTTTAGTGTTTCTATGAAAGGAAAGAAGAAGAAAATAATACTAATAATAATTCGTTTAAATTGCTTTATTTTTAAAAAAAGTCTTTAATTAGTCGTCAATTAGTTTCATATTTTTTGATGAATGTTTTTTTTCCTTTTTTTTGTGATAAAAATCATGGAAATGAATAAAATTTGTTTTTATTTTGAAAATTCAAAGCCAACAGTGTAATTACACAATCATATGACAAATTTAAGTTCTTATTTTTTTCGTTCGTTCGTTAAAAAAATCGTCTTTAGAAGAGTTTCTTCTTTAAGATAATTTATAATTCTTTGGAAAATAATTTTTCTTCTATTCGATAAAAAATATTTAGAACACGAACGATATTCGTTTTCTTCGGTTTTCACTTCTGTTCCGAAAGATTTTCAATATTTTTATCTTTCTTCCTATTATTACTATATTCCATATTTATTTCGTATTCTGAATCGTTTTTTTTTCGATATTTTCAAATTATTTCAAAAAACTAATATAAATAAGGCGCATATAAAGCTCAGTTCCTTGATATTTATCACCATTTATCACCATTATTATCATTCAAATGAAAATACATCTTTGAAACTCCTTACACACACTAATCTCGTTTTTTTTATATTAATAGATTTTTCTTCTGCAAATGAAATGGATTTTCTATACTATTAACGAATAATATCATCTAATATTATCGTTATCAAATGATCAAATGATAAATATTATAATAATAGGATTATAATTATGATAATAATAAGAAATATGAGAGACGAGGAATAGAGGAGAGTTTTTTTAAAAAAGTAAATTTTTAATATGTAATAAATTTATTCGTAAAATAAATTTAATAAATTTAAACAAATAAATTCATCTAGTATGAGCCGCATTTCGGGAGGAAATTATGAAAAATTCCTATAATGGTCAGTGTAGCTAAGCAAACCAGAGAAGTACCACGGACGGTGTTGGAATTAACCATTGCTTTCAAAATTTGATAAAGATGGAATAGCTGAATGGATTGTTACTGTCATTTCAGAATTTCAGGTTCTATTCCAAGCAAAATTAAAATAAATCTTCAAAATTCCGGATAATGCCAGCCATCCACCTATACTTCGATCTTCAAGCGATTCCTTGGCAAAATTTGTCTAGTTCTATAGGCCATTGCAGTAAGTAAAAATGATAAGTGCCTCTCAGAAAAAAAAAAAATTAAGCCCATCTAAAATGTAAATTTAATGAAATTTCGTTGCCTAAGTCGCTTAAGTCGCTATTTTTTATCACTCGTAGAACAAATATAATTTTCATCTCTATTAAATATTTCATTTTTTCACTTTTCTTCTCATAAAATATACCAACTGTTTGCTTTAAATTTTAATTTTCAATTAATTTACAATGGAAATACTTATAAATATGCACAGAAAACTTTCTATAATAATCACATTAGAGAGAAATATTAGTTGAAAAAAATTTGCAACCAATCTTAATGTAAGGATAGAATGGCTCAGTGGGTTGTTGCTTAATTGGGAACGCCGATGCTGAGGTTCGATTCCTGGCACGAGTAAAATGCGGGTGATACTGGCGACTCGCCTGTGTTTCTGTCGCCAAGGTACTCGCTGGCATATTGCCCAATTGCAACAAGCCACTGGAGCGAGCTTAACCAGTAATGGTGAGGTTTCTTTAAAAAAAAATCATTGTAATATTTTTAGAAAAATTTTAAAATTAATTCAATGATATTTATAGTTATATTTATATTTATTTGTAGTTTTTTATTTTTTAATATCTAAATTTTTAAAAAAGCGAACATCGCTTAATTTACTTTTAAATGGTTTTATTGGTAGACTAACTAACGCATTTCAAGTTTTGTACGATAAATGTTTAATTGATAAGCTATCAGTAGAAATTCTTTGAAGAGAAGAAAAATGTCCAAAAGAAATAATTTTAAATTTTACTGATTTTATTACTTAATCAGTTCATTACACTCTATGTTGACGAGAAAATCAAATATTATTTGGATAGAATATTAAAAAAAAGAATATTATAAGAAATATTTTTGCTCTCATAAACCATTATTAAAAACATTATTATAAATATTTACACATTTTATCAATAATTATTATCAATAAATAATAATGAAAAAAATTTGTGAAATATTTTCACTATTCACAAATTGGAATTTAGTAAACTTTTCTACCCATTAAGATTGGAAAACTCATGGGAATTTTGAGTGCAAATTGAATTTCTCTATGAGTAGTAAAGTTTTTTTTATTTTTTCAGTTTTTTTCAGTTAATATCTATCATAATATTTATCATATTTATTTATTAATTCAGTTTAGTTGCCCTAAATATAAATATTTTCAATTAAATTTGTCCACCATCAAATAGATTCTCTAAAAATTTAGAATTTTTGCTAATAAAAATGGAATGAATTAGTATTCGTTATATTTTAAAATAGTATAAAATTAACATAATTGGTTTGAAAATTTCATTTATTAGCCAAATTTTTTAATTCAATTTCTAACACAAATTTCAATTTATTTTGTCGAATTTTCAACCACTTTATTATCATTCGTCATATTTTCTATTTTATATTTTTAATCAAAAGAAAATTAATTTTAAAATGAATTTTTGAAATTTTTGAAAGATTTTTTCTAAATTGTTTTGTTTTCGCTATAAATTTTTCTAGTTTAACGGCATATTCCTTAATTTTTTTTTTTATAATTCTTATAAGAATCAAATGGAAATGCTATTTGCTGATTTCTGCAAAAATTGTTTAATATAGGAAAAAATTATGAATTTTTTTAAATTTTTAATAATTTACACTTTAATAATTTACAATAAATCGACGTAAATCGATTGTTTTACACTGATTTGTTGGCACTATGGGAAGGTTTTGCGATTTACTTTAGCAAATAGTTATAATATATATGTTGACTGTTAATTTGATATGCAAATTAATCAAAATTCTTTCGATACGAATCGAAATATTCAGAATATCGCTAAAATTTCGAAAAATCGGTTGAACTCCACTGATAAGTGATTGATTCTGAATAGATTCTGATGGATTGTGGCTCTAAAAAAATAATATCTGTTGTGTGTTATGCATTATGATAATATATAAGCAACAAAAATTCGAAGTAGTAACTGAGAAATAGAAAAGTTAACATTAAAAGAAAAGTACCGCATTAGCACGGTTCGAATCTGTAATCTGGAGAACTGCGTTATGAAGCTATAGGAAAATAATTGAATTTGAGCTGATGATAAGGGAATAATAAAGAATTTAAGGAGGTTTCGAGGCATCAAAATTCAAGAGTTACTTTCTTTATAAAATCACTGTGTCATGTTTTTAATGTACTCTAATATAGGCAAAATTTGAAGAGTCCTCACCATTACTGATTAAACTCGCTCCACTAGCTTGTCGCAATTGAGCAATATGCCAGGGAGTCCCTTAGCGGTAGAAATGCGGGTGATTCGCCACTATCACCCGGATTTTTGTAGGTTTACTCTTGCGAGGAATCGAAGTTCAGTATCAGCGCTCCCATTTGAGCAACAATCCACTGAGCCATTCTATCCCCAAAATGGACAAATTATAAGGCTTTTACCACTATAATATATTATCATTTATATCATACCATTTACATTATAGTATAGCAGTCTGATATTATTGCGTTAATGTGGCTTCACGTATGGAAATATATATAAAACTACAAATATTCCAGTGTTCCGAAATTTTCAAGTTTTTCAAAATAAATTAATATCGCTATTAATGAGTAAACATTATTTCTCGAAAAACTGTGATTCTCAAATCAATGATTGAAATCAATTTAATGAAGTAAATTTAGGCATGCAGCATTGATCCATTGGAGGATTTTCCTGAGACGCTACTAGATTTTGAAGGCGAAGATTTTTTTCAAAACGGTGAACCGCGAATCATTGGCATAATGACTACTTTGCTTGAGGGCGAAACCACTTGTCGTATCAAATTGTTGAGGCCAGAACTACCACTCGATCTACAACCTGAGGATAATAGTGGATTGAAATGTGCTGTCAATGTTAAAGAAACTATTGAAATCAATGGTTACTGATTTTTGTCTAAAGTAGTATAGTTGAAATAATTGTTACAATTACATTTGCATATATATATATATATATATTTCTATTCTAATTCTAGTTAGGATAAGCTACTGAGAGAAAATCTAAAGCATTTACAGATATTAGAAAAAAGCAAGCAGAGAAAGTACCATGGCAAAACAAGATCATTCATGGGTTGTACATTGAAAGATAGCTGAAGTTGTTGACATTGAGAAATTCAAATTCTATGAGTGGCTAAAAAAACCGAATTAAAAAGCAACAACTTTGATGCATTGATCGTAGCAGAACAAAAACATGCACCAAGCACCAGTCCAATATATAGCAGAAGATAAAATATAAATAGGAACAATATACCACTAAAGGGTATAACCAAGTCAGCTGGGGCATCATATACAGGAATATCTTCTCGATATATAGTTTAGACGATCCCAAGACTAGATGGGAAATTCCTCAAAAAATCATGGAGAATAAGGTCCTTTTAAAGAATACCAAGAACTGAAAGTGGAACTAGAAAGATGTGGAAAAAAAAAACTCAAAGCGATTCCAGTGACAGTTGGACCACTTGGAACTGTGACTCCTGAAAAAGTGCCTTCAGAAGCTGTGAAATTTCTTCATTTAGACTACTAACCAATCAACCAAATAAAGTGGTCAAACAAGAATTAGAAATCAAATCAAGTTAGTGATAGATATAGCCACGCCAAATGATAAGAATGTTAGGAAGAAGGAAAAAACAAGCAAGAGGTGAAAGAGGAATTGGATGAGATGTGGAAAGAACTCCAAAGTAATCCTAATGATAATTGGAGCGCTTGGAACTATGTTCCATAGAAAAGTGGCTTTAACACATTCCGGAAACAACATCAAAAGTCAGATCTCTATCCAGAAGGGCCTACAGCTAAGATACTGCGCAGAACTGACAATCTCACATGCCTCTCATAGAAGGCTTGTGGTTGAAGATGGTTTATCCCTAGAGAGTGAGAAATTGTAAATATATCAATATTATAACACTGATAACGGTTTTTAGGCGAAAGGCGTTTAGTACAGAAGCGAAAAACTGCTCATCCGGACTGGGATAAATGTTGGGATATAGATGTCGTACCTGGTCGAGTATTACAAATAATTCTAATGAACGGTTCAAATCCTATCGCAGATGCGACAATGCGACAACAGGTTATTTTTTCATTATCAGTTGTCTTTTCATGATCAATATCAGCAAATTTTTTCGGAAAACGCAAATTTTTCTTCCTTTTAATCCGGCGATTAAATTATTCTTTGCCTCATCTCCACCCATTTATTTCCAATTCTTCATAATCTTTTTTTTGATGATTTTATTTTTTTCGTTTATTTCATATGAAATAAACGAATATTCTTTTCTTTAAAAAAAAAAAACAAGAAAATTTTCTTTTTATTTTCATTTATTTTATTTTATTTTTATTTTTCATTTTTAGATCAGTCCATTATTAGTCTATGTATCATTTTCATTTTTAATTATAATAATTATACTTTTTTATTTTTTAATCACAATTACAATAATTTTTATTATTATAATAATAGTAAAAAATTATAATAGTAAAAAATAATAGTAAAAAATTATAATAGTAAATAATTATTTATCAATTAATTATTTATTTATTTATTTAATTATTTAATTGAATAATTATTTATTATCATTTATCATTTGTTTTTGTAACAAATCTTTTTTTTGTAATAAATTCAATTTATATGGAAATTTTTAATTTTTTTAAATTTTTTCTGTAATTTTTTTTCCTATAAAATTCTATGAATTTTTTATTCTAATAAGTTTTTCTTTTTTTTGCTCAAACGTTTAGTATTAGTTTTTTAATGATTGTATATTTTTTTAATATAATTAAAAATGATACATCGATAATATTAATAATTTTTTTTCCTTTTTTGCATTCCTGGTTCACCTCGTTCCTGGTTATTATTTGATTATTAGTGTGCGATATTTTTATTAGAGAGTCACTCAGGGGAATGATGCAAAATTGAGGTTCTCAGCAAATTTTCGATTTTAATGGGAGATTTATTTCAATTTAAAAATAAGAAATATACTCACGCTACTTGGCTCTGGCTGATGTTTCGTATAGTTTTACTATATATACGATTCAATCACTAATTTAGGCAACATAATTTATAATTTTATAATTTTCCCCTCTCTCTCCCTTTTAATATAAAATATAATATGTAATATAAAATTATAAAATAATATGAATAATATAAAATTTAGTGATTTAGAATTTTCAATATTTTTCCATAAATTATGCATTCAACTCATTATAAATAACTGATAACAACAATACATAATAAATAACTGATAAATTATCAAATGGAGAAATTTTATTAATCAAATAATTTATTTAAAATCGCCTTTGATCCACTTATTTAGTGGTCATATTTTTCTCATTCCAACATTCCATAACTATCAATTTTATTCAAAACTAATGTTCACAAAACTATTCAAAACTAATGTTTTTTACGATCAAATTTACTTTTTTAAAATTTTCAAAATTTTTTTACTAAAGAATTTCAAAAAGCGAAAATTTTATTTAAAAAATTCGTTAATCACTTGAAGTTCGATATTTTCGAGTTCATTAAAGCGTAACAAGACGTCGAGATAACCTTTTTAAATATCGTCGTTAAAGCTTATTTTTATGCTTAAAGATTTTTAATCTTGATAAGCATACATAAATCAGTCCATTATTAGTCTATTAGTCAATTAGCCTATAAGCATACGATTAATTGACCCCGCAGTCAGCAATTGTCTAATCTATTGTTATTGCTATTTTTAGCCGCTTTATCTTATCCATTAATTTTTTTTGAACTCCTACATATTGTTAATATATTTATAAAGTTATTGTTAAAATTACTAAAATTGCTAAATTATTGCTAAAATTGTTTTCATTTCATTTTTTTAATGGATTTTTCAAATAATCCCTTTTATATTTGCATGCATCATTTTTAACATCAATATGATAACTCGTTTAAATAAATAAATGAATACGTAAACCAAAAAAGTAGAGAAATTAAAAATGATTTAATATATATTTTAGTATATTTTTATAATTTAAAAAAAAAAACATTTAAGAATTTAATATTCCATGACAAATACAGCTTAAATTTAGCTTAAATTAGCTTAAATTTCAATTTGCATTTAGAAACGAAAATCTGAAGCAAATTCGTCTATAAAATTTTTTCAACAAATTTTTTTTCAACCTGGAATCGCTTTTATTAATCGAATTCCATGATTTAATTGATATCGGCTAAGAAAGTAATTTAAGAAGTTCCACGATTCTCCACCTTTCATTTCGTGGTTTTTCTATTGCTTAATAATTATGAATTATTAAGCTTGCAAATGAGCTTGCAAATTATCATTTTTGAATGGATTTAAATTCAATTCAATTAGAAAATGAAATTTTTATTGCCCGCAATAGATCTAATTGCATTTATCGTAATACAGATCGACTTTTTTTTAAAAAAAAAAACTATTAAATTACTGAAATTTTTGGAAATTTAATTAATTTCATAGAATTTTATTGAAGTTTTTTTTTAGAATATATAAATCCATTATTATATTTTTTTATAAATTATTTTAAATGAATTCTCTTGTGAATCGATCGATCGATTTCGATGCATCAATTTTTGTGAAATGGTAATGATAAATGATAATTTTATGAATTGAGACTGCGACTGCTTACCTCGAATATCTCAACCATTAGTGCCATCGGCGTTTTAATGCCATCGCATCTGAGTTTTTATTTTCCATGTTGCGAGGCAGAAGGCATGAGGTCAAGGTCTTTATCGAATAATTAATCGAAAGGCTCTTATTTTAGAGATTAGAGCCGAAATACAAATATATCGAAGCAAAGAGGCTTTTCCATGATTTATAGTGGCCCAATTTTATTCTACCATGTTTCGTGAGCAAACAGCATAATATAGTTTGAATCGAGTCCTTTGGCCAAAATAAATAAATGTAAAACCGAATGGTTGCTGTGAATCAATCATTATCCCATCGCTGGTTAGGGACGTTCTCCATCGTCCGCCACAGGAATTGACGCATATTTCATTACTTGCTAAACCGCTTGATGATTAGCGTCAAAAGCGAGGAGGGCCAGCTAAGAGCTGGACTGATAGAGTCAGGAAAGATTTTGAACGTATAGGAGGATCAGCGATATATAGATTTAGAAAGTGGGAAAAAGAATGGTTTCTATTACTGCTAGTGATGGCATTGGATCGAAGAGAGCTTGGAGCTATCTTACCCTTTTAGCCAGCGGAGCTAGCCTAACCAGCAATGGTGAGAATTGTAAGAAGAAATCTATCACTATATATCACTAAGAAACGATTTTCTCTAGTAAAAAATTATTTTACCCATAATTATTATAATTAATAAAGTTATTTTATTAGAAATAAGAGTTGCGATACATATATTTTTGCAATTTTTCATATAATTTTCTAGTGAAAATTTAAAAAATTTAAAAAAATTTATTGAGAAAATTTTTTTTGAATTTTTCTTGAGAACAATCATTATTATTAGGTTACATTATATTTATAATATATTTCTTTGTAGTTTCATTTACATTTTTTTTTATTAAAATCAATTTATTATTTTACATTTTGCAATTAAATAAATGTTTAGCTAATAGTTTATTTGTTCGAGAAGAATCGAATTTTTAGTCCTAAATTTTTAAAATAGTTTTCAAAAATTAAATATTCTTCAAAAATCGAATCGTTTAACAACACACACCATTATTTGTTAGAAACTCCACTATTCACTCCACTCTTGAGAGAAGGAAAAAAGAAAAAATGACTTACGGGGAAAAATAACCTGCAGTGGAAAATGGTCTGCAAGGATAGAGCAAAACAAGAAAGGCAGGTCGATCTTAAAAAGTTGATATTTTGTGATTTGGCAGAACTCTCTCTATTTCAGATTAACACCATAATTAACAGTAGAATACTTTAGAAATTAATGATTTAATTAATAATTTAGAAATTAATAATTGACTCCTTACTATCCAGACAAAGTGTGTTTTAGCAAAATCATGATAATCATGATTTTAATCATGATTATTTCTTATTTTTGTTTTAAAATTTAAAATTCCTTTTTTCTAAATCTATTTTATGCATTCTATTTGATTTAACAACGAGTGGAATAGCTTCAGTGAATGGATTTCTATTCCCATTTCTGAGCATCAATAATGAATTCCATTCTCATAAAATTCCGTAAAAAATTATCATTATCATTGAAAAATTCGAGTAATATTAGCGAGAAAACTGTTATCATTGAAGGGTCCAAACGATATTAGCGACTCGTACTTTTATCAATAAATGTCTAAAAAAAATTGATCTGATTAGTTAGTGGAATGAAGTTAATCAGAAATGATGAGCGTTCTTAGAAAAAAAAAACAAAACAATTGCACTATTGCACTGAATAATTCAAAATATTTTTTATATTTATATTTATTTTTATTTTTATATTTATCACCGGTCTTTTCTTTTATTTTTTTTTTTTAATTATTTTTTAAATTATTTATTTTTGAATGAATAAATTATTTTTTTAAAATTTAATTTAATTTAATTTAAAAATTTATTAATTTAATTTATTTTATGCATTAGAAATCGATAGAATTTTTTCTATATAGTTTTGCAGTTGAAATTTTTTGAGAAAAATAGTGATAAATTATTTATGAAAACTTTAATAACGAAAAAAATAAATTGTTTTTTTTATTTATTAATTCTATATATATATACTAATAAATTAATAGATTTTTTCATTAATAATGCTGTTTTTTTTAAGTGAAATTTATAAATAAAAAAATTTTCCCTCTGCAATTCCACATTTTTAGGATTCATATAATAATAAAAATGAGATGCTTAGATAAATCATCGAGTGGTTTAGTAAAATGGGACGAGAATTATCAGCTGTAGAATTTTTATTTTAAATTTACTAAAAGAAAAAAACAATTCATTGGCAATAAATTGAGATATGTCCAGAGACATTCGATAAAAATATCAGAAATGCATTTAGAAATTTACAATTGATATAATTTACGACCAATTTTGCTTTGTAGGACCCTCTGAAGGTATCCCAATAGATCTTCAAAACTTGATGAAAACTTTCGCGGTGGAATTAAGGACAGAAAACGATGAATAAGTTATATTAGGGAGAAAGAGATAGTAATTCCTCATCTGCATACTATTTAGGAAGTCAAATAAAACTACTACTATTTGTTCTACATAAACTCCAAAGAAGTATTTGCTTCAACGATTTTCAATTTCTATTTCTTTCTAGACGAGAAAAAAAAAAGAAAAAGAATAGTGCGCATACGAGTAACGAGTACCCTAAGGTGTAATCCCATTCAACAGTTGTTATCAGAAAATTATTCCTTATGAATTAATAAAACCTTATCAAGCTATTATTCTTGTTTATTGCGAATAATTCATTCATCTTTACAAATAAATTTCGTCGAAAATATTACCAATAGATAATAGAAAAAGCGTTATTCTTGTAAAATGATCGTGCAAAAATGCTTACTTCTGTGCTAAAAAATACGCGTTTATGAGTTTCGCGAGCGAAATTTACTTCATCCAACTTATAACTCTCATTAATCTGCTTTTTGCAAATACTGTTTAGTTGCGAAAAAAAAAATTTTATTCTTTTGGAAATTTGAAAAATTTTCAACTAACATTCAACGATGTAACTTTTACTGAAAGAGAATTCAAGAATTCATGAATTTTACTTTTAAAAGAGAAAATTTTTTTAGAAAACAATTAAAATAAATAAATGGCTAATTGTTGTCTGTCTATTAGTTTTTTAAAAATAGATTTGATTTAAACAATTAATTTAAAAACTATGATATTAACTTAATGGATGGATGATGAATTTAAATGGTGATTTTTCAGGATATTGTATCAAAATGTAAGTCGGATGCAATAACGCATATTTGGATAAATTTAAAACCGGCTGGTCGAATATTAGCACAAGCACGCCATTTTCGCATTTCTTGTGAGTTCTTTTCTTCGATTTATTTTTTTTTTTTATCAGATTTCATTTTACTCAAATATTATTTTCTTAGAATTATTATTAAATTATTATTATTATATTAATTTATCTTGAATTTATTTAAACTTTTTTTATTTTATAGATAAAATTAAAATTAATAAAAAAAAAAGACAATAGTTTCATCGATAGACTTTAGAAATTTTAAATCTTTTTTACTAAATGTTTTTGTTTTATTAAAAAAAGAAAAATCGGCTTTATATAATATTTGGCTGATTTTTTTTCACCTAAAAAATCTTGTAATATTTAAAATAAATTTTTTACAAAATATTCATAAAAAATTTTCAATTTTCAAAAATTTTCTAATAAAAAAAAGACAGAAATAAAAGAAATAAATCAAAAATAATCCAACTTATTAAATTTCATTATTTTTTTTCATTTTCAATAAATTTTAAATACTATTAGTTTTTGTGGTTCTTTTATTGAAAATTCTTTATTATTTCAACGATTTAACAAAATTTATTAGGACAAATCGAAGTTAATCGAAGTTGTATTTTCTAATATCGTAAACGAATATTCATTTAACACACATTTCGTGCTCTTCCCTCTCACTATTAGTTTAATTTTAAAAAAGCCTTACACTTATTGTGGAACCAAAGAATTATTTTTAAGCGTTTTTATTTTCTGATATGATAACTGATAACGGATATGACTGCTAAAAAGGAAATATAGATTTCAAGAAAACTCGTTTATTGTTAAATTTTTTTTTTATCACCACCACAAAATTTCGATTTTTAGCAATTATGAGACGATAATTTTTGTTTGATTTGTTAACTATCTTCTTAAAATCAATCGAATTTCTTCTTCATCTAAACGCTAGCACCATTATTGGTTAATTATTAATTATCACTAATTATTATTATGTAATTGGTTAGTCACCATTCACCATTTTCACCATTTCCAGTTAGTCTCTACTAAATACAATTATTATACGTTGAGAATTTTTTCCTAAAGAAATCAACTTGACATTCGAAGTTGACGATGAGATTTGCTAGTAACTATTCGTCTAATTTATTATTAACGATTAATTATTATTTTTTAAAATTGAATTTCAATTATGGAAAAAAATTAAGGTTTCGCAAAATTAAGGTTTATAAATTGATGAAATTATTTTATTTTACAAATTCCGATTTGTAGATAATTATTTTATCTCTTATTTTAGTGGTTAATTATCAGTTATTTATTTATTAACACTATTGTTCAATTTTTTTATTATTTATAATTAATATAATTAATATTTTTAATTTATTGATAATTTCTTATTATTTTTAATTAATATTTGTTATTTATTCTTAATATTACCTATTATTATTATTTATTGTATTGTCATTGTTTATTTCTGTTATTATTTATTATTTTTTTGAGAAAAATTTATTTTCGAAAAATAAAAAAAATTTGCGGAGTAAATTTTTTCATCAAATTCGGTTTGAATAAATCAATTTTAATTTTCTTTTTATAAATCATATTCAAGTAGTTAGCGCTTATCATCTAATTTATTTATCACTCTACTGATTTTTGAGCTCAAAGTCTAAGTATTCAAAAATTTCGTTCTTTAAAACTTATTGCGTTACGTGATATTTTTTTTTTTCTCGTCATAAATTCTAATTTTTTTACAATACTTTCACTGATTTTTTTTCACTGACAAATTTCTTTATTATAAAATTTCTGATTTTTAGCTGAAAAAAAAAAAACGAATTTACACAGTTTAAAAAAGATTTTCAGCAAAGATTTCATCGTTTTTTTTTTCAAATTATTATTTATTAAAATTTCAATGTTTTTCAATGTGAATTTTTTTCTAATAGTTCTTTCATAATTTAGAGAATAATCTAGAAAATTTTCTTAACTCAAATTTACCGATTTGTCCTTATTAGTATTTTCTTGCTTCTAATTGTAGTCGTTCTCCATTCTTTGGATTTAATTTGCTATAAAAAAAAATTGCCATTTTATAATGCATTGAGAGCTTTTAATCAAATTTCATTAAAATTAATGGTTGTCAATCAATTTGTAAATTTTTTTTTTTTTAAATTTTAGCTGATTTTAGCTAATTTATTTATTTTTTTATTTTATTTTTTTCGATATTTTCTTCGAAGAATTTTGAAATATTTTGATTACTTAATAATTTTACAAAAATTATTCGATGTATTATTATTTTTTAAAATAAAATGTGATTTTTTATTTTCGATTTTAACAAATTTACTTATTTTCTTACTTACTTACTTATTTATTACTTATTTATTACTTAGTGCTGTAATGCTAAAGTAATTAGTACTTTACGAGTGTTCTATTTGTTTAAACTCTGCTTGGAACGTTTGTATATTATATGTTTATTCATTTATATTCGAAAAAAAAAAGAAAATAGATGAGTTTAAAAGATTTTATTCGTCATATGATATTAGAAAGTTTGGATCATTGGAAGAATTTTTGGTATATATAAGTGATTACAATCATTTATGATATTAAATCTTTAGGCGCAATTTATATCAGCTGACATTTACGTTTGATAATTTATTAACAACGCTAAGAATTGTAATATTTGCTATTTATATAGTATTAAAAGAATAATTAGAGAATTAGAATTAGAGAAATTATTTTTATAGATTTATGAATAAAAATTATTTTTGCGATTCTTTAAATAAAAAAAAAAATTTTTTTTGCTATTAATAAATTTTAATTTTTTCAATTTATTCAATTTATTGAAAATTTTAAAATTCAAATTTTTTTAAATTTTTTAATTTAATTCTTCTATTATTTATTCAGATATATCAGTTTAAAATTGAATTTTGATTTTCAAATTTTTTATTTAAAGCAAATTTCTATGATTTTTTTTCTATGATTTGAAAATTATTGAATATTGCTTACAATAATGTTTATTAATATAAATGATGTTAAATATTAATAATAATAATAACAATTATTTTATTTTCATCGATTGGCATTCCTTAGATTAAATATTTGTGTAAAATTTCTTTGAGGGTGAGATTTAAAATGCCCGAAGGGAATAACAGATCAATAATTTTAGTAATTTATCCAAATAGATTCAAAAAATTTCAATTTGTTTCATTAGAATTTTTGTGGATTTCTTGCGGATAATAGTGATTTTTAATTTTACTACTCTAAATTACTTTAAAGTAAATTTAAAGTAAATTTGAAAGTAAATTTTAATATTAATATTAATTTAAAATTTAATAAAATTGTTTAAAGTAAATTATGATATTAATAAATTTTTTAGAGTATTTATTAATTTTATTCTATTTTTAAAAATTTTATGGAAATTTTTGCTTAATTTTTGTTTAACGAGTAGTTTTACAAACATTTATCTTTCTTATTCGCAAGAATATGAATTTCTTTTTAGCCGCAAAAGATCGACCAATGGACAACGGTACGCCAAGATCGTTCGATGAGAACGGATTACAAAGACGACGTGGTGCAATTAAACACGCTCGAGTTCATGAAATACGCGGTCATCACTTTGTTGCAACGTTTTTTCGACAACCAACATTCTGCTCATTATGTTCTGATTTCATGTGGTTAGAATAGATAAAATAATTTTCAATGCACTTTAACGCACATCGTTTAGCTGTTGATTGACACACCTTTCAATCGCACCTTTTGTTTTATATTCATTTTAATATTTTTTGTCAAAAAAAATTTTTTTTTTACACCTGGCAAAATTGTTGAAATAAAAAAAAGGATTTGTCAATTTTATTTGTTTTCTTTTTTGATAAAATTATTTAAATTATTTTTATCAATTGAATTACATTAATTATCAATTAATAATCAATTACAGATTAAAAATATAAACGTTGGATGAAATAAAAAAAAATATAAAAAATTGAGTTCATTTTTCACTCAAAATGCTTTAAATATTTAGTTTTTAGGGGACTTAATAAGCAAGGTTATCAGTGTCAATTGTGTAGTGCTGCTGTACATAAAAGATGCCACGAAAAAATGTTAAGTCAATGTCCTGGATCTGCAAAAAATACAAAAGAAACAATCGTATATGAATTTTTCTCTTTTTTTCTACAGAAAATTTATTAAATTTAAGAATTTTCTATAAATTTATTAAAAATAATAAGATATTTTAATGATTTTTCAAAATTTTAATCAATTATAATAAAAATTTGAAATTAATTAATTAATTAATAACTAAAAAAATTTAGAGTTTTTACAACAATAATATTTAAAATAAATATTATAATTATCATTATTATAATTATCTATTTATTATTTATTTATGAAAATTATTTAAATAATTTAGTATTTAAAAGAGCGCTTCAAAATTGATGTACCGCATCGATTTAAATCATATAATTATAAAAGTCCAACATTTTGTGATCAATGTGGATCATTGCTCTATGGCTTGTTTAAACAGGGCCTTAAGTGTGAAGGTGAATTTTATTTTTCAATTTTATTCGATTTTTTGTTCATTCACTGAAAAGAAAAACATTTAATTTTATTAGATCGTTAATTACACTTTTTCAAGGCCATTAAATGATAAACTTATCTTTGAGTTTTTTTGTTAAATGATAAAATTATCTTAAAAATTGGAAAATTTAAATTATGAAATCTTGACAACACGCTATTATAATAAAGAAAATGAATAATGAAAATTGTACTTCGATTTGAAATATTTTATGAAATTTTCGTGTGTTTATTTTGAAGTTTGTGGTGTTTCTTGTCACCATCGATGCCAAAAATATATGCCAAATTTATGTGGCGTTAATCAAAAGCAACTCTCAGAGGCACTATTTGAAATCAAGCGAGGCACTCACAGTCAAATGAGGTTTTAATTTTCTAAAAAAATATGATCGAACTAATTTTTTTGGCGTAAAACAATATGAAATATTAAACAGAAATAGATAAACATTTCGATAAAACTCCTTAAATTTTTTTTTTTTTTTTGAAATTTTTAACAAACAAAAAATGTTTTTCTTCAATTCGTTAATTTTCTCTGAAATCTTATAAATTGAAAATTTTGCTATATTTTGAAATTTCACTTTAGATTATTGTGTTTCGAGAAGTTGCCTAAAAAATTAATTTATTCAATTTTAATTCTATTTGATCTATTTGATTAAATAAATTATTTCTGATTAGATTGAGGTGATTAAGCTGATATTTATTGTCAATAAATTTAGCTTATTGATAAGCATATTGAAAGTAAATGTAAATATTTTATAGTGCCACTGGAGTAATGTCTGTGGGACCGCATGTAACTATAGACGGTCGTAGTGCTTCTAGTCCAGCAAATTGTTCCACTCCGACTGCATCGAAATTCCCGGAAAAAGTCAAAGCATTTTTTAGGAATCACAATTATACACTCGAGAATTCAGATAATGAAGAGTTTGTTTTCCATAAAATTTTAAGAATTTAATATTTAAAAATTTTTAAATATTTTAAATATTTATTTTAAAATTTCATATAAAACTTTGTTAATCAACCAAAAATTCATCGAATCTTCTAAATGATAAATTATTGAATGGAACAATGAATTATTAAACGAATAATTGAAAAAAACTAAAGTTACTCTTTTCAGATTTATTAGTGCACCATGGAGTGCTGCTGATGGTGTCAAGAAATATTCTCGTCAAAATTTTATCTTTCATAAAGTCCTTGGAAAGGGAAGCTTTGGAAAAGTACGTATATCTTAACGTTTTTCTATTTTTCGTACTATTTTATGATTAATGATATTATTTCTAGTTCAACATATGTCATTATCATTAATCTTCATTAATCTTTTTCGCCTTCGTTTTAAGATGGTTTTCCCAGGTAAATATAGTTTAAAAAAAAGATTATTTATTTAATTGAAGGTGCTACTGGTTGAACTCAAAAATCGAGGTGAATTCTATGCGATGAAATGCTTGAAAAAGGATGTAATTTTAGAAGACGATGATACAGAATGTACATTTATTGAACGAAGGGTTCTTATTTTATCATCCGAATGTCCGTTTCTTTGTCAGTTATTCTGCTCATTTCAAACTGCTGTTAGTTTTAATTTCATTAAATAAAAGAAAAAAAGAAAAAAAGTTTAAAAAATTTATAAAAATGAAATAACCTTGAAGAAATTTACAATTTACAATTTACACAATTTTTGAAAATCATTGATTATAGTTTATAAAATAAAATTAAATTTGAAGAAAATAAAAAAGTGGATTTTAAATTTTTTTTCGTATTTTTCTATTAGTTGTTAATAATTTAAAGTTCATTCGTTGTTTATTCGAATCTCAATTGTTTAGTTATAAGAAAACTTCGAATATTTCGAATAAAAATTTGAAATTTTTTTTAAAAAAAAATTTTATACTATTAAAAATTTTTATTTATTAAATGTTAGCATTTTTTAAAATAGTTCGTTCATTTCAAATACTGTTTCTAATTTTTCTCTATCGACAGATTTCATTTCTGTTTGTTGAAAAGAATAAAAAATTGTAAAAATTGTAAAAATAAAAAATTGTTCTTAGAGGAAAATTCCGACTGAGTGATTGCATAGCTTCCATTCGTATTTAAGGCTTAACTCTAATATCAATCAGTTTAATTCTTCGTTTATGTTTAAAATCATTTAATTAGCAGTATAGGACTGATAAAATACTAAAATAATGCTTTATATGTACAATATTTATAACTTTATTTATTTATTTACTTGAAAAGAATCAAGTAGGGCGATAGGCTGAATTATCTTCGTCCTAAAATAATTTTCATCCGATGGTTATTTTCATCTGTTTGATACAAAATAAATACATTAAAATATTTATATTATTTTTTTCTAGGAATATCTTTTTTTTGTAATGGAATATTTAAATGGTGGCGATTTAATGCATCACATTCAACAAGTGAAAAAATTTGATGAGGAAAGGACTCGATTTTATGCTTGTGAAATCATTATCGCATTACAATTTCTTCATTCTAGAGATATAATTTATCGGTAAACAAGATTATCATTTATCGTTATCATTATTCATCATTATCATTTATATGAAACCGAATAATGCAACATTATTTTTCTAATTATAATATTATAATATTAATATTAATTAATGCGACAATATGAAATTAACAATAATAATAACAGCAACAATTTTAATACTAATATTATTAATATTTTCATTTTTCTATTTTAGTTTTTTTAGGCAATTTCGAATATTTTTATTAAATTTATTACTACAATTCATTACAATTCATTGGAATAAAAAATTATAATAAAGTTTAAAATTTGCTAAAAAGAGCGAATTTGCTAAATTTTATTATTTTAATGTTCGAAAAATTTTCATTTTTTATTCATTCAATTTTCTTATTCCTATTTTTAGAGATTTAAAATTGGATAATGTTCTTTTGGATTCAGAAGGACATATTCATTTGGCTGATTTTGGTATGTGTAAGACGGAAATGAATCGTGAAAATGGAATGGCTTCAACGTTTTGCGGTACGCCTGATTATATTGCTCCCGAGGTTATTTGTTTTTTACCTTAAAACTGTTATTTTCGTTGTTCTTATATTTTATATTGTTATATTTATTATTTACAAATATTACAAATATTTTTTATAATTCAAACAGAATAATGCTACTTTTGAAAATAAATATATTTTAATAGTGAGTAAAGAAATTATCATCGTTATCAAAAAAAATTTTAGATAATAAAAGGCCAACTATACAATGAAGCAGTTGATTTTTGGTCATTCGGAGTATTGGTAAATTTTTAAAAAAAAATTTACAAATATAATATAAAAATTTTGCAGAGATTAAGAAATAAGTCTTTTGAATTTTAGCAAATATGAAAAATCTCGTCTGCGAAAATTTAGAAGAATAAATTATTTTTCAGTAAATTGTTTATTTTTTTTGTTCACACGAATAAATTAATTCATCGTGAAAAATTGCTGAAAAATTTTTAATATATTAAATTAATTGCTGAAAAATTTATATTGAAAAATATGGATATAATAATGTGAGATGAAAAATGCTTCTTAGATTTCTGGCATTCTTCTGGATTTCTGGGCAAATTTTTCCCCCGCGGGCAGTAAAACTTCAACATCAGCGCCACAAATTGAGCAGCAACTCACTGAATCATTCCATTCTCCTTTGTTTTTCTCCATCAGGGGACACTGTCACTCGACGAAGAGTGGTGCATTGGTTTAATCTGTCTCACTCAAAATTTTTTTTGCCACTTTTAATTTTAATAAAAACATTTGATAAATTATAATTAAATTTAGGTGTATGAAATGTTAATTGGTCAAAGCCCATTTCATGGTGAGGGCGAAGATGAACTTTTCGATTCAATACTTAATGAAAGACCTTATTTTCCAAAAACTATTGGAAAAGAAGCTGCAAAATGTTTAAGTGCGGTAATAATTTAATTTATATAATTTATTTATTTATTTTTATATAAAATTATTGTTGAGAATTATTTAATTATTACAAATTTTTAAATGCAAAAATAATAGAATTGAGAATTAAAAAAAAATTCTATTTAAGAAATAAAAATATTTTTTAGTTATTTAATAATCTTTTATGAAATAAAGTAATTATTTATTTTTTAAGTTATTCAATTATTTTTTTATCAAAATATTTATTTAGGAAATTTTTAGTTATTTGATCGAAATCCTAATACTCGATTAGGAATGCCAGAATGTCCAGATGGCCCAATTCGGACTCATTCGTTCTTTAGAGGTGTCGATTGGAAGCGTTATGAAGCAAGGCAAATGATACCACCTTTTAAGCCATCTGTGGTAAGAATAAATATGTATTTTGACGAGTACTTTTTTTTCGTACTGAATTCTATTCAAAGATTTATAAAATAAAATATTATGATAAATATGGTGAAAATCTTACAATGAATCGCTTTAAGTGCTCTATTCAATTACTATTTGATTATAATTCTGCCATTTGCAGAAATCACCAGCCGATGCTTCAAATTTTGATGAAGATTTCACTCAAGAGAAGCCACAACTCACTCCAATCGCTGATAAAACCTTACTTGCGTCCATCGATCCTGAGGCTTTTCTTAACTTCTCTTATACTAATCCTCAATTTCCTAGCAAATGAAATCTTTCATCTTTATTAAATGAGGAATTCGCTTAAAAAAAAAAAGAAAAAAAAACGAAACAGAATAAACGGAACTGAATAAATGGCATGGATAAAGTTTTATGGAAATATGCATTAAAATAACATTGAAAATAAAAATATTCGATCAATTTGACTGTTCAACTATTGAACCATAATGAAGGATAGGTAAAGAAATTTTTTTAGTATTCTGGATATAGCTAGTTTTATTATTAAATATTAAAAAAAATTATGACATAACAATTGAAATGATATTGTTTAATCGTCATGAATATTGCTACGGGCATTTAGCTTATTTTTACAAATAGTTCTAAACCAATTTGATTTTTTATATATTATAATTACTATAAATAATCATCATTTTTATCTTATCATTGCATTTTTTATCTTATCATTACATGTCAGTTTTTTTTTAATTAGTATTTATTTAAATATCTCAAAATTTTTATGTATTCCTTGAAATTATCATAAAGTTTGATCAATTTTATTATTTCATTTCATTTAATGAGATGTATGAGAGGAAAAAAACATTGAAGAATGCACGATATTCATTATTTTTATCATTTTATTCATTATTATATACCATGATATTATGGAAAATACTATATGATTTGAAATAACTGTATGGATTCGGAAAAGATCACCTTTCTTATCACCTAACCACTTTATTATCGTTAATCATCACTGATTGAAAATATTTGTTTGATATTGTATTATAATATGTATTTTATTTATAAATCTAGATTCATCACTTAATACGTTATAAACATATTTCAATATGGGTTTTAAAAAAATGGAAAAAAAATCTATCTCTACCAAATTGAATAAGAAAAAAAAATTTTTTTCTAGAATAAAAAAACTTTTAGACGATAATTGAAAAAAAATTCGATGCCGTAATTCATAAAATTGTTCATTTACTTTTAGTAAAATATTTTTTGTATGTGATATGATTAAATTGATAATTGATACGATTTATTCCGATTTTTGGTTGATTATATGGTGCTAGTGGCAACAAGATCAATTATATTAACTACCTGTGGTTTTACATAATATAATTATAATTATATTAATATTTAGGTACATGGTAAATGAATAAGTCTAATGAATTAGCCAACAATATTTTTCTGCACTTTTCGTTTTCTAATTTTCATTTTTTTTGATGAGTGTATATGTGATATTTCATGCAAATAAATAATTTTATCAAGTAAATATAATAACATGAAATATAAATATATATATAATATTTCCTTTTTTGAGCAAATTCTCACCATTAGGCTGGCTCCGCAGACTACAAGGCGTTTCTAATTTGCCCGATCTAATGCTAACTTCTTTGATAGTAAGCCATTGCTTTTTCCATCGTCTATTCTTGGCTTTTATCAGTCCAGGTCTCGATTGGCCCTTCTGGTTTTTGATGCCGAGCATCACCGTGTTTAGCAAGTCGCGAAATATATGTAAACAACTCTTATGATGGGCAATGAAGCGAGTTCTGTGATGGTACTGTTAATGCAAGTGGTATGCAAGTTTATGAGCGAAAGTTTGTGCAATCATGCGAGATTTTATCTGCTCATTGACAAACTCATAAATAAAATATATCAAAATATAGATATAGATCGTCAAAAGTAGATAACTTTTTAATATCCTCCACTCTCGCCAACAAAAATTCGCAGCCTAATAGAAAATCAAATAAATTGCAATTGTAAACAATTTTACAATTTCATAATTTTTTATTAATAATAATGCAGCTTTTAGCAATTTTGAATAATATTTGGATGGAATAAGCAAATTGTATAGAGAAATTATCGTTATAAGATATCTATTTATTTTAAAATCGTGGCAATATAATAATATAAAATAATATAAAATGATAATATAATAATATAAAATGGGATTTAAACCAGAAGTAACGAATGAAAAAGAAAATAGTTTTAGAAAAAAGCATTCAAGCAACAATGAACCAAGTGGACCAAGGATTCAAACTAAAGGGTATATGACCACTCTTGAAGAAGATTAAATTCCTTAAGAATCGTTTCAGTGATAACTAGGAAACAAGCAAAAATGCACTGATACAGAAATGAGCATTGATAAATAATAATAGTTCATATCAGAAAAAAATGTAAATTTTTAATCTTTTTAAAATATAAATTCTTATCGTAGTCATTTTTTTTAAATCAATAGTTCAACTGCCTCAGTGAAATTCTTCTTCTTCTAACAGCTCTCACCATTACTTGTTAGGCTGGCTACAAGAGTAAGAGGACTCCAAGGTGTCCAGTCCGACGCCATCGCTTGTGGTAATAGAAGCCATTTCTTTTTCCATTGTCCAAGTCTATATATTGCTGGTCTCTCTTAAAGTTAAAAATCTTTTTCTGACTAACACTCCAGGCCTTGATTGGTTCTCCTCGTTTTTGACGCTAACCATCACAGGGTTCAACGAAAACATGCATCAACTCCTGTGATGGACTACGGAGAATGTGCCCTAACCAGCGAAGGCGATGCTCAGTGATAACATTATTAATGCAGGTGGTATTTATCATGTGCGATTTTATCTGTTCGGCGGATCTGTAGAATGTACGTTAGACATGAGTGGTCAAAGCCTAATAATATCTTAATATCTCAGCTTCTTAATATCTTCCACTCTCATTGGCCATTCGCAGTCATATAGCAAGATCGAACGAATTGTAGCTATTTGGACGCGGATTTTCTTCTTTATGGTGATTTCGTGACGGTTCCATAAAGATTTCGCCTGAAAAATATAATTCTAGCTGCCGTTATCCGGGTTATGATTCATCCTTTGCCTGGCCATTTGATTAGAGCGGATCCAAGGTATTAAAAAGGCCTCAATGAAATTATTTTGAAACTATTTCAATGATGATAGTTTAATAAATAAGAATAATCATTTATATAATCATTTATTAATAAATAAGAATAAGAATAATAAATTTTTTTTTTCCTTCCTTACGAGTGTTCACCATTTCTGATTAGGACATTCACCATTGGCTTGACGAACTAGGCAAATTTTATTTTACCAAGAAGCCACATGATGTTAGAAATGTTAGAAAAATGAATCGCCAGTAGAACTCTAGCAGCTAACAGAAATTTTTTAATTTAAGATGATTGATAAGCACTCAGTTCATTTAGAAATATCTGGTTTAAGCCAAGATGCATTTTTTTTTTTAGAGCATTTACCATTAGCCTCACTGTGCTGGCTTGTCGAACTAGATAAATATGCTAGAGAAACCCTTAGCGATAGAAATACAGGTGATTTGCCAGCATCACCTGGATTCTTGGACAGATTCACTCCTGGAGAGAGTGGAATCTCAGCACTGCTGCTGCGAGTTTAGCAACAATCCATTGAACCATTCTATTCAGCTTTTTCCATTAGGAGATCCTATCGCTCAATAAAGCGTGGTCCTTCTGCCCGATTCAAGCCTTGATTCTCGGTCACAGTTATCTTGACATTGAACCAATGATTTTTAAAGCACTAAATAATTCATGAAAGGGATTATTATTTTTCGCGATCTATCATTGATCTATCAAGAATGAATCAGAGTAGCATATCATTAATTAATCTATATGAAAATACTTAGCATAATTGACTGAATAAAATAAATTATCAAATTCCCAATTTCTGATTCCAATTCACATTCGAATCAAATAAGGTTGAGTGAAAAGCGAGAAGTGAGAATCATGCTTGAAATAGGCGGCTAGTTGAAGTGGAGTACCATAATATAAAAATAAATTCTATTTTTTCACTGATTTGGAGCCCGTATATTGTCAAATTAATTCTAGATTCCAAAACCTAGATTCTTTTCGCATCACTAATGGCTGGATTAATTCCGCTATCTATAGCAATGTAGACAGTTACTGCTTGGGAATCCCTACATCCATAAGCATACCACGCATCTATGACCATCATTTCGCCATATGCACAAGGATCGACTGATATTTGTCGGATTTCTTTAATTGAATTGTGATAGTACGCTTAATAGTTCCACAGCTTTCAGTTTATTAATGTTGCCGAGCTTTGTTTGCATATCAATAATACATACGCTTTATCAGAGGCACCATACGCTTTGGAACTCATAAGTTCCGTTTAAGAGTTGTTGTGTGTTGGATTTTTTCGGGAGTAGAAAATACGCCAGTAGCCAGTCGTTCTTAACAACACATTGATTTATTCCTATTAAGAGAGGGAAATAATTGCGAAATTTTTATGAACCTTTTTAAGATAATGGAAAAAACAATTTGCCGTTGAGGAACAATTTTAAAATTAGCGCTTATTAGAAGGTAAATATTATAATTTTAACCAATGAATACCTAAATTCTATACTTTATAAACGATAAATTAATTGATAAATAAGCGACAAACATCAGCAAATTGAAAAATTAAAGTCGTGTATATGACAAGCGAAACCTTTTTATAAGGTGTGTCAAGGTCTATTCTTCAGATTTGTCGCCTCTTTTTTCCCATTCAACTAATATCAACGAGTATTTTGTTTATTGTTTGTTTGAAATATGCGAAAATCTAAATAAATAGAAATAGAAAGAATCATTTTTAACTATTTTCCATTAATATTATCCTTTTTCAGTAAAGTATTACTTTACTGAAGGTATTAGTGAAGTATTACTTTGCTGGGATTCAACGATGTATGCGCTACCAAGTTTATATTGAGATGATATGATAGGATTTTAATTTAAAATTTTTTACATATTGAATAAGGCATCTTATGGTTAGGCGTCAATCAAAACCTGGACCCATATACTCAGGAAAGATTTTTTTGAGTATAGGTGGACGAGCGATATATGGATTTAGAGGATGGAAAAAGGAATTGCTTCTATTACCGTCGGCGTCGATATCGGATGAAATAGCTTGGAGACGTCTTACCATTGCAGACAGCGGAGCCGGTAATCTAACCAGTAATGATAACGATCAGAAGAAAGACGAATTTATGGGTATATGAAAAAATGAAAATGGCTAAATAAACTGAAATTAGCATTTATTTCGATAATTCTCAAGGTTGAGATTTGTGTTAAAAAATTAATGGGAATGCGAAAAAAAATTAGTTGATTGATAATTCGTAATAATTTTATCATTTGATGACTAAGACTATAGCATTTTTTTATCGAAATATCGTTAATTTTTTTTACGAATTAAAATCCAACATTAGAATCGTTTCGCACATGCAAAATTCATTGTTATTTGCATGCATCATTCATTTTTTCTGAAATTTATTTTGCAAACTTTTATTCATTGGCATCTGATTTGTCTAAAAAAAAATCAGATAATACCATGAAACAAAGTAACCTATGTAGGATTTTGGCTAATATTTTTATCTTTTGACTTGGATTGACTTAGATTGACTTAGATTAGTCAAAGAAATCTTTTCCTCATTTTAATTTTGTCCTTTGCAAATTTCTAGAGATTATATATTTTATGGGAAAAGACCTTTTTAAAATTTAAATCTTTTATCTATTTTTCTTTCTATTATAATTTTTAACCTTGATCTGATTTTTTTATTTCGCCTAAGCATAAACAAACGAAGTATTCAGTAAAATTTCTATAAAATTCACGCAATTATGCAATACATTTACAGTGCTAGTAGGTTAATTTTATTCTCAACGTTTATGACTAGGTTCTCGCTTCGCTAAGCCCTAAAAATTTTACCAAGGAGTCACTTAGAATGATAGAGGTATAGGTGGATCACCGACGAGTCAGTTCAGTTCATTAGTTATGGCGGATATCTCATTTAAGGTTCCTTTATGCGTTAGGCTTCACTGAAACAGCAGATATGTATCCTTCGTTGAACAATAAATCGCAAAAAATAATCATTTTTTGATCGTTATCATAGTACGCAATCTAAATTTATTCCGCTTTATTTTTTCAATAAAAATTAGTAGATTGCTATCGAAATATATGCCTTACACGCCTTACGTACTGGTAGATCAATTTTAGTTCAATTGATCGCTCACTGTAATGGTACCAGTATTTTTTCTTATCCAGTATAATGACTTGAAATACCGAATTTCTATTTTTATTTTAAGCATATTTATAAGCATATAAGCATTTGCATTCTTCGTTTTAGCGTTACCAACGGCAAGATTTACAACTGTTTCGATAAAATTTTGGTCAATGCACCATGTTTTTCGAAATTTTTATTGGCTAAATTCAACAAAAATGGCATATGCCTCGGCAAATTACTGCAATGACCTCAATTTCATATTGACTAGTAATGTACCTCTCTGTGCTATGCTTCATGGATTTTTGCAGAAAGCCATTTTTATAACAACCATTATTTTCATAAAAATTATTTCTGTTAAGAATTTGAAATAATTCCTGAAAAATCTTTCGTTTTTCGGAAGCATTTAATTTTCTAATTTTTTGGTACCATCGTCCATTTAGTTATATATATTTCACTGCTAGAAAATTTCTTCATTCAAGAAATTATTATATGTATTGATCATTTCTCAAGGCTAAATGGTCATTGAAGATTTTGTATTCACTATGAAAGTGCTCAGCACATATATGTATAAATTGAATTCTATGATTGTTTCGTTCTTTTCCTGTTATAAATGAGTAAACCCGTAGTCCTTCGTCTCACCTTTAGAGAGTTTTTTTTTCAGATTTTCAGATTTTTTTCAAATTTTTAAGAATTTTCTCAAATTCTTCTTTGTTTTTTCATATTTGAAAAACTTGATTTTATAATTTTTATATTAAAACGAAGCGTTTTTTTTATCAATATTTTTTAAATTTATATTTATAAATTTATATGTTTATAAATTTATATATATATAAATTTATAATTTATATTTATTTAAATATTTATAAATTTTATTACTTGAATTTCAATTTAAAATCTAAACTATTTCTTATAATTTCTATTAAATTATTAGCGTAGTGAAATTTGCAGAATCATTACAGAAGGGAATTTTTTAAAGCTCACCGTGATTCTTAAAGGATTCATGGATGCCTATTTTGAATTAATGTATTTCAAATTTTATTTGAATGAGAATAAATTCATTCAAAATTCATAGGTAGAAAAATTTAATAAATATTTTAAAAAATTTAAAAAATTTTATACTGTAATTTCATGGATTTTAGTAGAATTATCTAAGGATTCGCAAAAAAAAGCCCTATTATTGACCACTATATTAGCCTATTGCTTATTTAATTTAAACTTTTTTTTTAAAATTATATCCATTTCACTTATTCACTTATATATTTAGAAGTGTAATAGCCATAAGACAATAGTTGTGGCAACAATAAAAAAATAAAAATAAAAAAAAGATGAAAATATCTTTAAATATTTAAAATATTTTATTTTCATCCAGGAATATTATCACTATTCTTCATTATTATCATTATATTATATTATCATTATTCATGAAAACTTAAACAAAAAGTTTAAGCTATTATACTCGTCAAAATGGATTAAGGATTTGTTTATTTATGTTAAATAATATTTTTTGTATAATATTATTTATAATATTATTTATTTATTATTTATAATATTTTTAGTAATGCATAAATTATATAAATCGGCAATTTACTCCAGCGGCATGTCGAAAAAATTATAAGCCAATTTAATGACCTAAAAATAGGTTTTCGCAACACGTCGATCGATTAGTTCTAGTACCAATGCTTCAGTTTTTTTATTTTTTTTATTATTTTTTCCCGAATATTTATTTGTAGGATTTTATTAAAATCCTATTATTCTCTATTTTTGAGCATAACAGAAACGAAGGTTTAAGTATCTTTGGATTAAATAATATTTCGAATTTCAGGGCTATGCGATTGCTAATATTCGTTTTATTTTTCTCATTCTTCAGCTTTATAAGTATTTCTTTTAATATTTTCTTAAATTTTTTTCCCACTGGAATTTTATTTATTTCACTTATTATTCACTTACTGATTTTTACCTATGCTAGAGGCAATAAATGAAATTCTATAAAATTGTGCATACCAAAATAATACTGGTCAATTAGCGATTATATAGTTAGGCCGGCTGGCCATTAGTACGATTACAAATTTTTGCAAACATGTCATTTATAGATAAAAGTGGATTGCCAGCACTTTTTAATGACTCATTCAGTCCTGTGGTGAGCAGAAGCCGAAACCTTTCTTCTTATCTTGATAACCTAAATTATTATGGATTTGATAAAGTTCCATTACCTCTCTAAAACAAGAAGAATGGAACATATTCATCAATAATCATTTGTTATCAATAATCATTTGTTCAGTGGAAAATTTGAATACAAATAGATAAATTCGAGTGCGAAATACGGCTAACTTCCAGCAGCCTTAGGGCTTAACATTCTCTTTTTTTATCATGTTAAATAAATATGCAAATCTGTTTATCTAAAATTAATTCTGATTTCAGCAATAAATGCAAAACAAAATTGCATATATGTGAGATGGCAAAGGGTAAAAATCGTATTTGGTGCTCGAAGCGAAGGTCCCTATTCTTTTCATACATGCAAAACTGCATGCACGAACGACGAGGATCCTATGAATAAGGGAAATCAGCTACAATGCTCCGGGTCAGTATATAATGCTTTTAAAAAATTCAGAAATAGAACAGAAGGCTTTCTTATGCTTCCATACTTTTAGAAATTGGAGATGATGTAAAGTGGATATAAATCAAAATTGATAACAGTTTTTGTATAATATGGATTTTCAAATATTTCAATTTCTGATAACCTGATTTAGATTTAATCAGCGACAAGGACCGAATGAATATACTCATCATTGTCAACTTTATCAAGCCGATCAATTGCAACATGTCGATGGATTTTTTGAGGCTGATGATCGATATAATTTTTATTGGAAATATTGTGTGAATTGTATGTTCGAAAATAATTTCTTGAAATGGAAATGGAAATAGTAAAAAAGAATCCATATTTTAATGCAATATTCAAGCGACGCGATACTAATAAATATCTTATCAAAAAAATTTATCAATTTTATAAATAAAATGAAATTTCAGCTGAGAGAACATGTTCAGGCGATTATGCATATACATTTTTATCGGATCGCTATATGGATTTTCGTGTGATAATTCGAACGATTCATACTCGTTCTTTAGAAGATTGCTTAAGTATTTGCTTAAATGAGAATAGTTTTGCTTGTCGAAGTGTTTCGTTTAATCGAACCGATGGTGGATGTCAATTATCACAACATAATCAACTTAGTAAACCAGCGCTTATAAAAATTAATAATAATCCTAATTATCGGATTGATTATTATGAGAATAATTGCTTTAACAGTAAGTTATTAGTAGAAATTAGTATTTATTTATTAAAAAAAGCTCTCATTTATATTAATGATTAAACATTAAGAAGATAGGAAGTTTAGGAATTTTTTAGGAAAATTAGTGAAATTTATGAAAAAAATTTTTTCCACGCTGAAGATAATCTAAAGATATTCAACGATAATTGATAAGTTTATTTTTCAAAATTTACGATTATATGTGAATTTGTTACTTAATACGAATCTTTTAAAATTGCATATTTTCATATATTTTAATTAGCAATAAATCTTATCACTGTTATTGATCTTATCACTATTACAAAATATCCTTAATATTATTGATCTTCTCAAATGAAATTTATTCTTTTCTTCCTATCGGCTTCGATAGATTTGTTTAGAAGAAAGAGACAACAATTTTTGAGGCATGATTTATAATCATGCATTTTGCTTTAATATATAATTTTCAGTTGCAGATTCGTTTGTTTTCGACTATGAATGTAAAGATAATGGAATATTGGTGAAAGTTGAGTCAAAATATCCCTACACTGGTGCAATGTATGGCCTTTACGACTTTTTTACTTGTCGTATTGAACCTAAAGATGCGAAAAAAATGGAATATTTTTTTCCATCGCCAACAATTTCAAAGAATTGCAGTGATAGCATACGTTATAAGGTTATCATTCACTCTTCAATTCCTTTATTTTATTCATTCTTTAAAAAATATAACTAAAAAAATTATTTTTACTAAGATTACTGATCGAGAAAACGTTAAAGGAAATTTATAGATATTGTATTGGGTCGTTGAGAATAGAAAAATTTTAGGGAAACGATATGGTACTCGAAATCGTTATCTCGACTGATGGCGTGGAACCGCTGTATTTTATCACCCCTGATGATTTAACTTATCAGGCTCGTTGTCCCATTAAAGAGTTGGGAATAGTTAATGATAATATTGATATCGCTTCAAAATTGACAAGGTTCGTTCATTTGTGAAACGAGAAATTCGCATTCATATTCTAAAATTTTATTGCACTTATGCACAATGTTTGATGTGAACGCATGTGTGAGGTTTGTTTTTTATTTTATATCCGAGTGATAAACCACAATCATATAAATATTCGCAAACAAAAAGGTGTATTAAATAAAATAGTCGTCTAGTCTTGCATGTTCACCGCATTCACATGAATTTCAGCAAAGGCTCTGTTGATATGGCGAAATTCACGGCAGCATCAGCACATGCATTATTCACAATGTTGTCGAATGCCTCACAGAGTGTCGTCGAAACTAATTCAAAGAGTGATAATATAATAGAAAATATCAATTGCACTGTAATCACGAGTACTCCTTTCACAACTTCTACGACCAAGGATTTATTCGTATTACCTTTCCATCCAGTTGAATATAGCACAATTTCATCGATTGTATTCTTATCCACGACAGAAGAAAGCACTATATCCATAAATACTACCACTACCGCCTCTCCAGAAATTCCTTTATCAACTTTAAACAATTCTTTTTCTGATTCATATAAAACTGATGATAAAGGGCTGATAAAAAATGAGAAAAGTTTCGATGAAATTTCAACTATGACGTTACCAAAATTGAACATCCATTTTACAGTATTAGATAATCAATCAACCATAGTAGAGAAGCCAAAAGAAGAGATTCACGGTTCAGAAGAAAAAAGCACAGTCGATATTATACCCGAAACGACTTCTACGATCACAACGACTGTGGATGCGAGTGATCGGACTATATCATCAACTATGGACAATTCATTGTCTTCAACTTTAACAGAAGATATTAGCGAAAGTACGCAGAGTACAACTGAAAGTAGTAGTACTTTTATAGAGCATGAAACCTCGTTAAGTACAACTGAATCCACGCAAATTACGTCTTCTAAATTCATCACAGAATATATAACACCAAATATTCCAACATTAACTGATGATAAATTGAACGTGAGTACATCTACCGAATCGGAAATATTCAATGTGACAACCACTTTTATATCTTTAAGTTCGACTCCAAGCACTCCAAATAGCGAAATTATTGCTTCATCTGAATCTGAACGACCTGAAACGACAATTCTATCTCATCCTTCTTCTTTTGAAATATTTACGCATACCTTAACAGAATCTACGTTTGAAACCGCGACGACTATCGCAAATACAATTAGTTCTATTGAGATTTCAAATGAAGAAGCAGAAAATTCAACGTTCACACCTAAATCATTGGTAAATAGTTCCACGAAATCTGCACTTGATACAATAGAAACTGGTTTTGTTTCAAGGTCAGCGATTAATTTTAGATTATCAGAAGTTTGATATTTTTGATAAATATTCATTAACAAGTTTTTCCTATATATCTTTTCGATTAAGATATAAAATATAATTCTTTTGAAAATTTTTCCACTTCTTTTTTTTTTGCATGATTTTCAAAATTTTTTTTAAAATTATCGTATAAAAATAGTCTCAGCTTTAGGATATGTATATTAGTATAAATTATTTCAGTACACATACCGAAAAATCATATCCAGAAATAATTCGAATGAAAGACACAACTCAATCCTCTTCCTTCTTATCAACGCTAAGTGATAAATCTGATTCCTTTGAAAGCACACAAACAATTCCCGAAAACGAATCGTCACTTGAAACTGCCCTTACTGATGAACAAAATACAAGTACACAATCAACAATAAGCACAACTATACACGAAACGGAGCAAGAATTAATAACATCGGAATCGGAAGAACGAACTACAAATACAATTCTAACAACGGATGATAGTAAAACGACCGCAGTACATTTTGAAGAGACTAGTACAACGCAAAATTCGTCGACCGTAGAGCCAGAAAATTTCACGAATGAAAATAAGCAATCGAATAACAGGTATATGCAAATTTTAATAGAAAGGCTGCTTTATGAAAACCAATGAGATTAAGGATTTTCTCTTCTCATGGAATTGAACTTTTTAAAAAATCCTAAATTCCGAATTTTAAAAAAATAAATAGGCGAATGTTTATTTTCTAGCTCAGCTTGGATAAATGCAAAAGTACCAAAAGAGGCCGTTATTTTCGATATTTTCCATAACGGTCAACCAGTTGAAGTGGTAGTGCTCGGAAGTCGAATAACTCTCAGCTTTATACCCTATTATGCTATTCCACGTAAGTCTCTTTTAAATTTCTTTGCCATCTTTATCCGTTTGTTTAATTTTTCATGGCAAAAGAAAAAAAAAATTTTTTTTCCTTGTAATCTAAAAATAACATAGAAATTTCGTTATTATTAAAAAATTTATTTAGCTGCTTATATGAGTATAACGGGTTGTCAAGTGGAACCGATCAGTCCTTTATATGAATGGGAACTCGAACCACTTGCAATAGTAAAGGATAGTTGTCAAGCTGATCATGTTGGTCTAGTATGCCCACCGCAAAAAACCGAATATGGCATACAAGTTATCGTCGAGTCATTTAGGTATCAAACCACCGCACATGTGCAATATTCGTGTCTTATTCGGATATGCCCGTTCGCACCGTGTCCTGTGGTTAGTTCCTTAATACATTAGTTGCATTTCCAGATAAATTTCATAATTGGAAAAAAATTTTTTGCGGTAAAATTTTTTAGACGACCTGTGAAAATGTAGAAGGATGCCCATCAAATGATCTTCTAACAAGAACATTCGGTTTGCGCTCTAAACGTCATATAACACTTGAACAGATTCGAGCAGCTTTAGCCGCTAATCCTGATTTGCAACGACAAATTCAACTATCAAATCGATTCGGGAACAAACCTCTAACTAATTCAGGTACTCTTTAAAATCTATGTGAATTAACACTTGATTTACCCCACGAGACTCACTATGAACATATCAATATCAACTGATATCAACCGTTTTTGCATATCAATATCAACTGATATCAAAAGCAACCAAACAAATTTTCTTATTTGCAGAAACTCAACAACAATTAATACAACTTGGTGGCGATCATATTGTTAAAAAACGTTTAGTTGTTGTAAACTCAGAAGACGATCTTCGATATTATATAAGAACTGGAGAAGTACCATGATTATCTGTTTGATTATTAGCTATTAAAAAAAAAACATCCAAAGCAACAATCTCTTTTTAAATGAAAGGATAGACTATTGCTTTAGATTCAAGAAAATACCTCAATAATTTCTTATAATGAACAAAAAATCTTATTTAATTTTACTCAAGTGAGATTAATTAAGTAAATCTGGATGTAGTACCGTAAAAGAATCGAGAGTCCTGAAATTTGTTCAAACTGTATATATACATATTTAACAATAGAAACCCTCGTTAAGATCTATTTTGTGCAGCAATAATGGACTATTTTTTTGATTTTGTTGATAATAACGTTGATAAGAAAAGTTCGATTTATTTTTGATAAAATGATAAAAAAAACATAAAATAATAAGGAAATAAAATATTCATTCGGATGTGCATGCCTATATCATGTAAAAATATTCAAATTCCTTAAAGATGTTATATATGCCACATAAGAATAGAACTGAATGAAAAAAAAAATGACAACAAAGATGCTCAATCGATTAAATAATTATAATCTTGCCAGATTCAGTAGATTGGACTGGAAATGATAATTCATGTGTGTAACGAAGTACATTGAAAGAAATAATAAATTTTGCCATAAATAAATCATCGATAATTTCAAAATTCCAAATTTAAATTCTAATTTTAAATCCACAATTTCAAAAAATTATTGAAATTTAGATTTCATTTAAGGTATGCAAATAACAAATTATATATGCAAAACTATAACTGTATAGAATTTTTTTCCAGAATTTTTCTATTTTTTTTTAAACACTATTTGTTTATATAACAAACGAGAACGTATTTTTCCTCAATGCATTTTAGTTATTATTCTTTTAAAAGAATAAACAAACATTATTAAGATTTTACTTTAAAAGTGACTTCACGATAAACGAATAATTATTCGGTGAAAATTTTTTAATTTTTTCGAATTTAAAATTGTAAAGCCTAAGACAGGTGACCATATAAAAGGAAATTTAATATTAAATATGAATTCAACTTTATTATTTAATAAATGATATTATTTGAACGGTAAAAACACGAAAATAAGAAATTTACTTTTTCGCTTCTAACGACTCGTAATTCGGATTTTTTTTTAGTATTACCAAGCCTTCTAGATAAGGTGTCATTGATATATCTAAAAATAATTGGAAATAGGTCTCGATTTTTTTTATTTTTATTTTATTAATGATTTAAACAATGATTTAACTGAATAATATTTTAATTAATATAATAATTAATATAATATAATAATATAATATTAATTTTAATATAATAAAATAATATTCAAAATAATAAAATAAAAGTAAAATAAAAATTATATAAATTGTATATATATATATATAAAATTATATATATATATAAAAATTGAAAATAAAAATTTATTTCAAATACTTAATTCGGCAAGAATAAATATAAAAGACATATATGCACAGCATTCATAAATTAGAAAGGATAACTTACATTCGTCATTCGCCAATTCTGCTCGTTCTCCATAAGCCATGAGAACAGGCGTAGTATGGGTTTGAAAACCTGTTATTATCTTTGGCTTTCCAGCTTGAGCAACAACATCCACTGCTTGGCCTACTCGCACGCTAACATTAATTTGAATCAATTTGTTCGGATCATCTTCATCCTCAATCAAAGTTATCAATAATCGAGGTTGCATTGCCAAAACCAAGGAATACAATAAATAATGTTGCCGATTGTTTAGAACAGCTGAAAAGATTCTCCAGATAAAGAAAAGAGCTTGAAATTGAAATTAAAATGAAAACACTATTTATAACACTTGCATTTGTTCATTCAATTTAATCAAAAAGGATAAAATGCCTTTATAAAAAGTAAAGAAAACTAACAATTATTGGCATCTAAAAATGCAAAACATGCAGTAAAAAGACCAGCAACTGCAGCTGGACACATTAACTGACGATCTGAATGGAAAGGATTGAGCGTCACTGTTCCTTTGCCCAAATGAGTTAATCCCTGTGCTAATCTGATCAGCATAAGACTTACCTGAAATTAATTAATGGAGTAAAAAAAATTGGAAACTCCAGTGCGACTCCAAAAAAAGACCTGTTAAACAAAATGTATAAATAAAAAAGTAGAGATTTATTCGCATAAAATAACTTTTATTCGCAGAAATAATAATAATTTTAAAATAATAGAAGAATACAAATACAATTAAAATACAAGATAACCTGATCTTTATGATGATAACTAGCTAACTGCCTTAACATAGCAACCAAACGTGCACTATTTGTACCCGCACCTACCAAACCCATAGCAAAAACTGCATTGTGTGCAGTTTCTGCATCAGCGTCATGAGAATACTTCGATAACGATTCCAAAATTGAGAGTTGTGGATTTGAAGTGCTAATAAGAGCTAGAGCTAGAGGGATAGCACGTCTAATCACTGGCTCACCATATCGCATCTGAAATACTTTAGAATACAAAATAATAACAGAGAAAAGCGGATAATGAATATAAGCTTTACAGAATGAACTAACGAGATGCCCAAACATTCGAAGGCTCATCTGTGCGCCAATTTCCTCACCCATTGCTATCAAACTTATTCCCAAAACAGCGACAGCTTGTTGCGATGAATGGTCAATCTTATCGTCCTCTTTCTTATCATCTTTCTTACCACTAGTGCCGATTAAATCGTTCTTTTTTTTGTCATCCTTTGACTGAAAAATAGAGATGAAATAAATAAAATTACTTTTGCAATGATAGATGAAAATTGCAAGAACGAAATAAGCAACAGAATATTATTTACAGGAGTAAACTTAACTTAGAGAAAATTTAGTAGCACTGTAATTACTACAAAATAATAGTAATTATAAAACTAAGAATACGTTTAGACACTACAGAAACATAATATAAGAGCTCTGCGAATCCAAGGAAAAATTTATAAAAATAAAATATTTCCAATATTTAAGAAAGTCCAATATTTAAAAAAAAAAAATTAAGAAAAATTGTTACAAATTATCTTTAATTCGCAAATAGTAATTTTCGATGGAATATCAAAAACTTTATGAGGACCAAAATTAGTAAGAAAGCTACAAATATAAATTAAAACTAAACATGTTCACGTCAAGAAAAACCCTTTTTCAAGAACCTAATCTATATTTTTGCATAACTGGGACTATAAAAGTGATATCGAACATTATACGTTTTTTTTTCTGGAAAACAGTTCAGTAAAGTCTAAAACAAATTTGATACAATGTAATTTTTACAGATATACTTTAAACTTTAATACTAAGAATCATAGAACCTCGTGGCTTATGAATTTAATCATTGTAATTGCAAATCATTGTAATTCTTTTCTCCTTTTTCTAAGAACACACTATTATTTGTTCAACTGGCTCCGCTACCAGGTATCTCACAGACATTAGATCTAATATCACACTTGAAAATAATTATATTATTCGGTATTCGTTATTCGTTTTTCCACCATCTAAACCTATATCATTGTGCCGGCTATGTGTTCAAGATCTCTTATGAATGTCTCATGAGTTGACTAGCCCTCTTTGATGCCATCCATCAAAGGATTTAGCAAACAGAAAGATAATATATATGATGATAGAAAGTACTCGAGTGAAGTTGGATCCAATTACATAATATGTCTGCGCGAGCACTTAAAATATACCTTACGCATGAATGATCAAAGCTAAAGAGCTTCTTGATATCTTCCATATTCACTGGCCATGTTGGGTAACATCAAACAAGATATGCTTATTGCAATCAGATAGATGCCAATTCTTTTTTATTTCTGATATTGATTTCATAAAGATTCTACCGAAGTTTCGACAAAAGTAAGAATAGATCCCCAGTTGCACCTATCCAGGCTTAATTACTTGGCTTAATTAATTACTTATAAAAGTGGACCCAAGATTTATTGAAATTCCTCAATCAATGGTGAATTTATAAAAAAACCTTTTTTTTTGTATCTTTTGTTTCATAATGCTCCGAACAAATGTGTAGTAATTTCTGGATTTTTAATACATTACCGGTACCAGCATATGCACAAACATCAACAAGTGTAGAGACCATGCTTCCAAATGGTTCAGGCAACACACGTAAACTTTCAACAAACACTTCACTCTTGTCCTGCGTGCCTGAAATATTTTTATAGTGAAAAAGAAAAAAAACGTAGTTACCAACCCAATAGTTTAGTTCTAAATGTATAAAGATTAGTTCTATCTAAATATATATATATATATATGAACATATTAAAAGAATTTCTACCTATGTTTAATCACAGTAAAACAGACCTAAGAAAATAAGTGCGATGCCGAGAGCCAAGAAGCGCATATTTGAATCTAGAAGTTCAATTGCACTTTTCTCCATTAAAATTTGCAATAACTCAGTTGCCACAGCATGATCAGCAGTACCAACTAAGATAAATCCGAGAGCTAGCCCACACATTCCTCTCGCCTGAAACATGGAACTTGATAAAATCCTGAAGAAAAAATATCTAGTAATTTCACAGCGTAAGGTAAAAAAATTCGCCTATAAATCAAATTACCTCATTATTTAAAACATGCACTGTATCATTAAGAATTCGCCTCATTTCAAATATAACACCTCCATGATCATTTTTAACGACTGTTTCACGCTTAGAATTTGCATAAGCCAAACCAAGACCCAGTATAGCACCAATTTGCACTACATGTTGATCACATGGCAAATGGTCAAGTAATAAAGCAGACGCCGGATCGCAAGGATCTTGTATACCAGACGATATTATTCCAATTGCAAGAAGTGTACCAGCCTAAAAAAAATGGCAACACTAAAATATCCCAATTTTCTTCAATTTTGAAATTTCACCAATATTTTTAAATAAAAAACTCTTAAAACCTTAATATATTCGTCATTTACGTAAAGAAATCGATCACATTGCGCCAAACCAGTATCAATATCCCACCTCCATATTAAACCCTGACTAGCTGCGGCCGACATCATTCCTAAAAGAAGAATATTTGTCTCAATATTAGCCAGGCTCAAAATAGGCTGGAGAAAAAAATGCACCATAATCCTTGTTTTTGTAAAACCATCTATTGGCCTCATCTGCATCTGTCATCATTTTATCTACACCAAAACCCATATTAACAAAGCCATTGACGAATGCAGCAGCTAGATTCATCTTTGCACTGTCAGGAGTAGAAGCGCTAGTGAATGGACCTTAAAAATCCAATGTAAATAAAACTGAGACTATATTACCATTGATAATATTTTCTGGATGAGCAGTGAATATTAAAAAATAAAAGATATTTTCAATACAAATGGAAAAAAACTCAAAAGATATTTAAAGATATTTAAAAGATATTAATATTACTTAGAAAATAAATATTATAAAAAGATAAAGTTAAATTATGAAAAGCAAAAAACTGACGGCTTTGCTCCAAATGACTTTTATAAATGCCTTCCGGTGTTTTCGGTTCCATGATATCTAATTCCTTAGCTAACGAATGAAAATATGTATGAAGATTGGCGTTTGAATTCAGTTCTGCCAATTTATCTTCATTTTCCAGACCATTCATATCAAGAAATATTTGTTGTCGACCAAGAAGAATAGCCATTTGTTTTAAGACAGATCTAACACAACTGATTTTAGAATGTTAAAAATCTTATTTTTTATTATTTCTTTCATAAAAAATAGAATAAAAAGATTTATAAAGATTAAAAATTCTCACAATTGTTAAAAACTTACTGATCCTTGGTAGCCAGAAAGACACTACGCATCGCATCCACATCGTTCAACATTATTGCACAGCGCAACGCCTCAAAATGTTTGTTGAACTTGGAGTAAATATCTAGCGCTGTCCTGATTAGGCAATGATTATCCGGATCGGGAGTCAAAGGTGAACAGCTGCAAAATTTAAATTTGAAAAAATGATGATGGATAAGATAATGGACAAAAAAATTTTATCTAAGAAATCTAAAAACAAATTCTTTTTTTTGAAAGAGAAAATTTACCTTAACAAGTATAGACAAACTCGTGAATGATCGACTTCTTCAACATATCTGATTAAGAAATCAAGGCGTTCAATTTCAATCAATAAGTCACATGCTTCAACTTCAGCATTATGTTTCAAATTATGAACAACTATTTCACGAACAAGCTCAGCTAATTCATCGAGATGCTGCTGACCTGCTGAAGTCATATCACTTGCATAAAGACGATATTCTTCAGCCATTTCCATAGATAAATGCCTAAAATTCGAAGTTAGCTTCGAATTTAAAGAGCAAGCTTCATTGAATTTAAATATGAACTAATTTAAAATATGAAATAAAATAGAAAAATTTGTTCAAAATATTTCAAATCGACTAAATTAAATTTATATTTCAAATTTATATTTCAATTTATAATTTATATTTTATATTAATATTTATTTAATTTATATTTAATAAATATAAATTTATATTTAAATTTATATTTATTAAATTTATATTTATCGATAAATAGAAAAAGACAACAAACCTGACATATTCGTGACCCCAGTCACCAATTGGTTCACGAGTTCCTTTGATTCGATAATTAATACAATCATTTTTTTCATCAGAAATCATCGCTAACACAGAAATGATATCTGCACAATGCTTCTAAAATATTACCACTGTGAAATAAAAATTATCCCAATTTAGACAAAAAATATTCAAGATTACCTTAGCCAATCCATCGGCCATTTTTTCATAAATTTCTTTCATTTTCGCATAATGTGGACGTAGAAATTTCAGCGGTTTTGGAACCGATGTCATTGAAGTAGTTGATGCTCTTATGATTGTACGCATTGATTCTAACGATTGCATTTGTTGTGAGGTGTTGGAGCTCTTAAAAATTTATATTTTTACAAATGATTTGATTTAAAATAAGTTTTCTAAAAAATAATTTAAATTAAAAAGTTCTGAATCATTTATTTTTTTTCCGACTGTGGTTTAATTATTTCAACTTTACAAAAATAAAATTTGCAAAAAAATAAGAAATGCCAACAATCATGGCTTATTAAAAAAGAACAATAAACTCACATCTAAATATTCCACCAATGCTTCAAGATCACTTTGAAGTTTGATATCTTCCTCAGTCTATAATATGTCTTTTTATCAGTAAAAAAATCTAAAAAAAAACAAAAATATTCAAAATGGAACAATCGAAATAAATCTTTAAAAAATAGATACAGAGCAAAATAATAAAAATGCTCAAACAAAAATAATAAAAATACTTCTTAAAAATATTTAGAATTTTTTTAAATTAAAAATAAGAATTTTTAAAAAAGAATATATGAGATAAAATTAAGGCAAATCGACATATATTTCGTATATTTTTTGGTTTAATATCATCCTCATTTTTTCATTATTTACTAACAAAGCATGTATATGTATACTTAATTATTTGAAAAAATAAATAAATAAAAATTACTCAAATAAAAATCTTCTTATGAATAACTAATCGAATTAATAGCAAACATATTTTTTAAAATGCATATCAAATGATCTTATAATCCTAAAACCTATAGTAGAATTTTTTTTTAAGAGTCCTCACCATTACTGGCTAAAATCGCTCTGCTGACTTGTCGCATTGGACAAATATAACAGAAAATCCCTTGACGACAGAAGTACAGGTAAGTCGCCAGCATCATCTGGATTTTTGGAGCTTTATTCCTGCGGGGAATAGAACCTTAGCAACGGCAATCAGCATTGAGCAGCAAACCACTAAGCCATCCTACCCTTATGAGCAGAATTACGTTAAGAATAATAACTTCATTCAGTAATATAAATTACTGAAAGTAATTACCTTATGATATGGTTTGTGGGCAATCGCTGTATAATTTTACGAGAAAATTAAACAACTAGCAACACTAAACAAATAATATTGCACCATAAGGATTATAAGGGAAATAAAAACCTTCACATGAAATAATTCGGTGTTTTGGTACTTTCATGAGCTCTTCTCGACAATTTAACCTAACCTTAAAACCTACAATAATCGTTAATTCAAGTGCATAATTTTACGGATTGGCCTTTTTTAAATGAATGCATTATTCAATTAAATAACATTTTTAATTAATATTTTTCTAGAATTGAACTATAAGAAACGCTAAAAAAAAAATTCTAATCGATAAATTACAAACTATTTTATTTAAATATTTTAAATGAGAAAAAAAAATCAAAAAAATATTAAAATAGAATAGAAATAAAATTAATAGCAAACCATTTCATCTTTTTTATCATCTTTTACTTCTTTCTTTTTTCCCATAGTTTTTTCTTTGGAATCCGACGAAATATTTTCGTTTTCCGCTTTAACTGCTCTATTTTCAACCATTTTACTGCAAAAAAAAATTTTTTTCCTATTAATTTTAAATTTTAAATAGCAAAATTAAAAAATCGTATAAAAAATTTGTTAAGTGATTATTTTTATAAAATACAAATTTCGCAAATAGATTTTTGCAAACCAAGAGAAAAATTCACATTAAATTTGCATAATTCAGCAAATAAATGACAAAATTAAAAAAACGCAAATAGACCTAAAGAAATATAAAAAACCAAATGTTCAAGAAAGTGCCAAACCAAAACACCAAAGCACCAAACACCTAAGAAAGTACCAAAGGAAAGCACCAAAAAACACGCTAATGAAATAGGCAAAACAAATCCCCCAAAAATTTAATTGACACCGACACCCGATAATTAGAAGTACCAGAAAATGCGGCCCTGCGGCCCATTGCCTTGTGGCCGTAAAAATTCTCTTTTAACGTGCTGCATGGTTAATGGTATTTATCGATTACAATCGCGATTTTACCGACTCTTCCTCGTCCGAATCGGTTTTTTTTTTTTCTGTTCTAATAAAATTTTAGTTATTAAATACTTTTTTTATTGACATTATTATTAAAATATTTTCTAAGAATTGGGAAGAATTTTTTTCTTTTTTTGCTATTTTTTCTTTTTTTCTGAAAAATAAAAATGAAATATTCAATCGATAAACATTTTTTTTTAGCTAAATTTATTTTTAAAAAGTCGAAAATTTATTTAAATAATTTTTCAAATTTATTATAATTTTAATAACGAAATTCAATAATAAAAATAATTTTTTAATGAAAAATAAATAAAAAATAATTCGTGAATTTATTTAAAAATATCGCAAAATATTATTGTATTTTTACAATTTTTTCGCTGTTCAAAATGAAAGCATTTTTATAAATTTATTTTATTTATTTTAGCATTTTGTTAAAGATCGTTAAAAAGTTTTTTATTTTCGAAATTTATATTTTATTTAAATTTTTTTTCAAATAATGAAAATTTTTCTTTAAAATTTTTTTTAATCATTCGAAGAATTTTTTTTTATTTATAATTTATTTAATATTTATTATTTTTTTAATATTTTTAATGTTATTTTTAATTATTTTTTCTATTCTATATTTTTATTTATTTCGCATTTTATTTCATATATTTTATATGTGTATTTTATATATAATATTTTATGTATTATTTTTATTAATCATTTTTCGTTTATTTATTTATTTGAAATAAAATAAATTATTATGTTATTATATTATTATATATATTATTATATTATTTTTTTAAATTAAAAATTATTTACATATTGTTTTTTCTTAGGTAATAAAAACTAACTAATGAAGATACAATAATTGGTGAATATGAGTAAGACTTTTGAGCCAAAGTTATTGTATAAAAATGAAGGCTCGTCGCCAAAATTACGCTCTCGAGCATCTACTCAACAACCGAGGTTTTTTCGATTTCATTGATAATTATTGCTGTTTTTTTTCTAAAGGGAGCCATTTTTGATTAAATTAAAAATATAGATGAAATATTTTGGTTTGTATTTCTGCTGATTTTCATTAATTGTAATTGATAAGGAGATGTAATTTTGATAAAAAGCTGGTATCATTTTCTTCTTTTTTCGATGAAATTTTAATTTTTTAAACAAATGAATTATTTTCCAGTTGTCTGAAAGGGTAATTTGATATGTGAAAATATAAATTTGAATTGACATAAAACTTGTCAAAAGGTAGTTTTTTATTTAAAAAAGAAATATCAAATTTTGGTTATAAATGGAATTTTCATAATTTATTCTAGTTGGTTCTCTGGATTGCGCAGTCGGTTATCGCAATTAGTTATGCCAGAATGGCTGAATCAGCTCGGCATTGTTAGTGGTTTTCAACAAAATTCCAATCGTGATTCTTTGCAGTCTTCACCGAAACCGTCTTCAAATGAAAAGGTTGCACATTCGATAGTTTCTTTTTGATTATAGGTATTTCGCCGATATGAAAGCGATGTTTAATAGAATTCGAAGAGAATTTTTATAAAATTTCTTATTTATATTAAAGGAATTTTTTAATTCTTTTTATTTCCTTCAAGTAATTCATCCAAAATTTATTGATTTTATTTTTAAATTATTTTTGTTTGTTTATACAAACAAGAATCAAACAAAGCATATGGAACGTTGCAAAGTTTGTAGAATTCACCATGTGCGAGTCATGAGAAAAAGGACTCATTTTTTTCGGCCGAAAATGCTTCAACTATTATCCCTAACAAATGGGTTAGTCTGAGAATTTTATTCATTCATTTATATTCGTGGAATTTTCTCTTTTTGATGAAAATTTTCCTATTTATTTTTCATTATCATTTCTTTCTTTCGCATTTTAAATTTCATATTTTAATAGGGTGTCCTTAAGTTAATAAAAGTTAATAATTAATAATTAAAAATTCCATGTTATATGGTTGAATTTTAAGAGTAAATTAAATTAAATTAAATTTTGAGATATATGTTTTAATTTTTTGAAACATTTTTTAAAATTTTTATAATAGAAAATTGCAATATATTTTATTTCCTTTATAGTAGTCTCATTTAGTTGTATTTATTTATATTTTTATTATTATTCATAAATATTTAGTTGTATTTATTATTCAAAAAATTATTCCTTTGAAAATTTCGTATATATTTAGAGTCAAAATTTAAATACCGATCTGTGGAATACCAGTGAAAATTACGAAGATAGTTTAACTGTTCAACATTTTGGCCCTTTAAAGAATTTAATTAATTATTGCAGTCAGCCTGGGAAAGGACATAAATTTCAGTAAAATTTTCTTTGTTTTTTGTTTTTCGTTGAAAATCTGGTTATTTTATAGTTTATATTCGTTTATAGTCCTATCTATTTCTTTAATTTTAATATCTTGTCGCTTGGCGGTGTATACACATAGATTCAAAAATTCCTATATTTTTGTTTTATAAGTAACAATGGATTATCAAGTGGAAATTATAAATTATAAATAAAAATCAAGAGGCTTTTGACCCTTTTATTCTATATTGCACAACATATATATATTTTTTGCTTCTTTTTCTATATTTTGAGAAGAGAAACTTCACTGATCTATTAAAAGGGTCGACATCGCAAACAAGGATCAAAAGCCTCTTGATTTTTTGGTTTTAAATTTTCTATTTATATATATATATATATATATATTTTAGATTAATGTTCGCTGCTCAGCCAACTTGGTGCGATAAATGTGGTGATTTTATGTGGGGATTTCTAACACATGCTGTAAAGTGCGAAAGTATCATAATTTCATTTATTTTCTTCTCCTCCACATTAAACTTATCAAATAAATATAATGCAGTGAATAAAAAATATTTTAGAAATATTTTTAATTGTAATAATTTTTGTCTGTAATTTTTAGCTTGTAATTATACATGTCACTCAAGATGCTCCTCATTAGTCACTTTGGATTGCAAAACAGCGGAAAGCAGCGGAAAATCAACCGAAAGTTTGTGTGCAACACTATCTTCAATTAATAAAACAACACCGATATATCCCGATTTAAGTTTTCTATCGTCTTTAGACGAATCATCTCAGGAAGAACTTGATTTTTGCAATGAATGCCCTCTTAAAGAGCAGGTCAGTTGGTTATTAATCTACTGAAATTCATTGAAACTTGCTTTTTAGAAGTTTTTGATATTAGAAAGAAAGATTATAAAATTATATTTTTTTTATAAATTTCTAAACTTTTTTTTAGGAGGCAGAAAAGGCATTCGATCATTTTTCTGGATCAGTACAAATTCATATGAACTTTACTCGACCAATTAATATTGTTGCTGATCAGTCAGGATTTTCATTAGTTGATAATAACAATGGTTAATTTCATTTTTATCTTTATATGAAAATTTTAATTTATAGAGATCATGGGTCAGTCTCGTCATCATTAAGTATTATTCCAAAAGTTCAATCTTCATTTAGTTTTCTTTTTTTTCTTTTCATTTTTCTTTTTTAGAAAACTCATCAATGAAGTCAGTAAAAACTATAACAACATTTTTCTTACCAAGAAATACTATCAAAAATGTCAACATTAGCAGTAAAATGACTACAAGGTTCGATTTTGATGCTTTCACCTAATATATGACAATGACAATATTTAAGTGTAACTACAAAAGAAACTATAATAGTAATTAAAAGTAAATTTAATTCTCTTCTATTTCTCTCTCCCAGCTCTCAGTTGAGGTTTTTATTATTAATAGGCAAGATAGCCGTTCCGATTTATAAAATTATTAAGTATGAAACTACTAAACTAAAACTATTAATTATTTTAACTATTTTTTTTATAGATATTTCTGATTTTGTTAACCATAACTGCTGGTCTCTTTGAATGAATTTCTCAAGAAAATAATCTATGATGAGCGACAATTTTGCACTATCTTGAAATTTTAATCCTTGATATATATTTTCAGGGAAATAGTTGTCACACTTCTTCGAAAATTTAAAGTCGCTGACAATCCGAGAAAATTTGCGCTATATGAGCGTGTTTTTGCTGATTCAATTGATCAAACAATTCGAAAATGTTTGTTTTGTTTTTTTCTATTTTTTGGCAATCGTTTCTTGAATGTTTATATTCTTAAAAATAGATTTGGGGTATTTTTGAAGTTATAAGATGATACTCAGGTGAACTAATTCGGATTAATGATGATGCCTATCCTTTGAGGATGGTCAATGAATGGCGACAATCTGGTTTGGTGAGGCAGCTAGTCCTTCAAGAGAATGATACTGGTGATATTTTGGTGAGGAATATTTTACGTATTTCTTCAATGATTCAAAATTTTTAACACAAGATTTAAGAAAATCCGTTGAATATATTTTTATTTTAAAGTTATTTTATTTTGCATTATTCATTACAAAGTACAAAGTTTTCAGTGGGATATGTTCGAGATACCCGAGCTTGAAAATTTTCTCGTTATACTTGCAGATGAGGAAAAACAATACCTATTTCGTATTCGGCAAAAATATGATGTCTATAGGTAGATATTTTCTTACACGTTTTATATCACATTTAGTTTTCTCTTCTTCAAAATCTGCAATAAAGTACTAGTTAATCGTTCGCATTCAATAAAAGGTTTAGAATAAAATTTGTGTCAAATATGACAAAATTTTTTTTTTTCATAAAAATTTTTCTCTTTCTTAATAATTTAAAATAACATCAAAATTCCCAGTTGTATTTGACAAAATATATTTGAAAATTGCCTTAGAAATCAGCTATTTGCTAGGATTGGCATTTGTTATAATTAATTATTGTAACGAGGAATTAAGGTATTATTTGAATCAAGCTTTACGAAATCATGGTTGCACTACAGGAATTGGTGATGAATCTGGTTGTTTCCCAGAGACTACGAATCATATTTATGAAAATGTTTCTTTTGAGGTATTTGAGAAATTTGAGAAATTTTGAGTATTTGAGAAATTTTCTAGCATTTCTCTTAGTTCTCTTCAATTGAAATTTTTGTTCATAGGATTTTTTTGCAAATTATACTTTTTCAAATTGAAATGTATTTGATTTCAGTATCAATATTAAAAGAAAAGTGAGAAAAGAAATGTGATGGAAACGATGTGCGGTTATTCCCTCTCTAGAGATATTGAAATTTAGTCCTATTGATGTTTATGGATTTAATTGGTTTTATCGAATTTGCATAAGCAAATACATGTTTTATAATCATGCATAATATGATAATATGATTTGTTTTTTTTTCCTTTGTTTTTTCCTTTGTTTCCTTTTTTTCCTTTGCTAATCATGGAAGATAGATTATTAGTGAGAAGATTACTTGAATTGTTTTTTAATTCCAGTAATCTTTTATGGTTCAAAGCGATATGAACGCAAATATGTAACAAAAATTGATTAAGGGTAATGGGAATAGTTCAAGGAATTCATTTTCATAATTTATTTTTTAAATAAAACAATTTAAAGTTATCAAAAAATTGTGATTTTGTCCACAAGTTGGTTATAAACGTGTTGAAAAGATGAAATCGGTTGCGGTGTGCGGTAGTTTAGTTTATTTTAATTATTTATGAAATTCATTGAAAATTCGCTGAAATGAAAATTTTTATTTATTATTTAGTTAACGCAAAAATGAGTTTCAATAAGTTATTCATATGAGACAATTTTTTTAGAAAATAGTTTGGTACCTCTAAGATATCTCTCTTTTTTAATTTCAGGATAAAATGAATGTTAATCATCATCGATATTAATTTAAAAATTTACTGATAATACTGAATTAAAAATTATCAATAATTATCAAAAATCGTGATATTTCAATAAATTTTTTTAATTTTTTAAAATAATTTTATTAAAAATAAGTACTCCAATTTTAAAAGTGAATTGTATCAATTTGAAAGTCTTGAATTTCAGTATTTATTCATATTTAATTTCAGTATTTGTATGTCTCATCGCCTCATCTTCACTTTTCACGTTCTTTATATATTTTCTTCGAATGAAAAAATTCTTGAATTCATTCAAGGGCCAAGAGAATGAACAATTATTAATGCTTTTGTTGCTAATTTGATGATTTTTCTTGAAATTTTGATAATGTTAGAGATAATGGATTGAAAATGAGAAAATCGAATTGTAAGTACCAAAACAGTAGAATTTCATTAGCAGACAATTTTAACAAAATAATGAATATAAATATTTTGTCCAAATTTGAAATGTTTATCTTTATTTTTTTGTTTTTCTTTTTATAAATATTAGTAATATTTTGTAATGCAAGCACATTTTAACTTTTGCATAATATTGTAAATGGCTTTTTAGAAGATCGATTATTAATATAATTCTTATTATTAATATAATAGTTTAAAAACTATGAATATGTGAACTTGTCGTTTTACAAAAGTGGAAAGCTATTATAAGATTGCAGATGTGGGAAATGATTTAAAAATGGCATTCACGATTCATATCAATTCGAATAGGTAAGAAAATCAAAAAGATCGAAAGGGGTCTGAAAAGACGAGTCAATTTCAAAAAATAGCTTTTTACTTTCGCCATTCGCCAATTAACTTTTTTTTTTTTGTTTAAACATATATTTAATTAAGCAAAAAAAAGGTAAAAATGAGGCATTGAAAACGAATATTTTGTATTTGTAAAGATATAAACATAAAAAAGCTTAAAATTTATAAAATTTCAACTACATTTGTATAAATTATAAAGAAAATTTTTAATTTTATATTTAAATTTATATTTGTATTTTATATTCAACGTAAATTTAGTTGAATTAAAAAAATTTTTTTTTTGTTTATTTAATTTGAACTAAAAAAAAAGCAAAAAATTAAAAATTAAAACTAAAAATTACGATGGACGAAAATAAAATGCAAATAAATAAAATCTTTTGAAAATTTTCGACATTTTCGAAATTTTTTTAATGAGCCATTCGAAAAACGACGAAATTTTCTAATCAAATCAGAGTTGTTAATTTCGAAGAAAATTTAGAGATAAAGAAATCGTTTTTCGTTCGATTTTCCTAAAAGGGAAAACGAAAAGTATTAAAGCTAATTTAAAGAATCGCCTTTCTTCATATTCATTAATTTTATATAATTTTTATATAAATTGTATAGATGAAAATTTTTTCTCTAATTAAAACCATAATATAAATCCTTGTAAATTTAATTAATATATTTTAAAAAATCGATTTTTAAATCGAATTTTTTATTTCTTGAAATTTGATTTGAAATATAAAAAATTATAATAAATAATCTTTTAAAATTTACTTAAATTTTTTTAAACTTTATAAAAAATTTTTATTTGCTCTAAATATTTACAATATTTGTAACCCATTCAAATATTTGAATATAGAAATTTAAATATAAATAATGTTAAATATTTAAATTTAATTTTCGAATTTATTTTGTCATATCTTATTGCGAAAATTACCATAAATCTATCTTCTTGTATTTTTTTTAACGATTTCATTCGCTTGATGAATTTCTCAGAACCTAATCGTTGTAAGCGTCCACAGCTCTTAAAGCATTCTAACTCTTCTTTAACACTATCAAATGTATATTTTTTTTTGCATCAGACGATAGCAGCTCCTTAAATTCCCTTATACGCTATGGTCTCCAAGCAGAAAACTAAAATATTCCTTTTTTATAACACTCTAATATTACATAGAAGGATATTTTATTGGCAACGAAAACACTTCCCACTCGCTAAGCACCTTTAATATTATTTCTTTTTGCCATAATTAAATAACAGTTTTATCGTTCTGCGACTTCAGCATCCTTGGAACTAATTGTACCATTCACTTCCATTTTATTCCTTTAGCGCTCCAATTTTTATTCCATAGTATACTCTTTTGAGAGCTTTTATAATGCCGCAAAATGCAATTAATATAAATATATGGGAAAAAGAATTTAGAGAGGATAAAAACGACCTGTCAAGTATGAAGAAAGTAACGAAGAGGTATTAATAGGTAACTAGTGAAGAAAGAGGTTTGGTACTTCTGAGGAGATTTCAAGAAATATAAGGGGCTTATTTTAAAATTATGAATTTAATTTAAAATTAAAATAGAATCAATGAACTATCAATTTTAATAAAAATCGCGTCAAGTCAAGCATCACAGGTTTCGATTTCCTCCCTTCGGAACAAAACTACCCTGCAGGTGGTACGGGGAACAGAGTTTTTTCGATAAAATAATGGTCAAGCAGTACGAAAGCTGACCAACAACTGCTTGTTTTTTGAAAAAACTTAGGTCAGCTGGGAACTATAAATAATTGAGATTATTAATTTTGAAGGTCACAAGCTAATGAGTTCATTGAAATTAAAGCGATAATCATGTATTGTTGTTAATACACAAATGACTAAAATTTTTCATTTCCATTCGATCGTTTTTAATATTTGTTGAAATTAATTTTGCAGTTTTTATGATTAAAATAATAAAAATAAATTTTTTAGAAAAATTAAATTTTAAAACTTATTTTATTTTTTAGATAATTTCATTTATTTTGTAATATAATTTAATTCGACAAAATAGCGAAAATCAAAATTATCATTTATAAATTTTTTTTTGAAAATTTTTAAAATAAAAATAAATTAAAGTAAATTTTTTTAAGATAAAACATAAGTAAGACAAATTTTTTAAGGAAAATTTATTTTATTTTTTTTAGACAATTTCAATTTATTTATTTTGTAATGTTATGTAATTCGACAAAATAGCGAAAATTAAAATTGATACAATTATAAATTTTTTTTAAAAAATTTAATTTAATTTTTTTTAAAAAATTTTAAGAATTTTTAAAATAAAAATAAATTTTTAAAGCAAAATATAAATAAGATAAATTTTTAAGAAGAATTTTTTTTATTTTTTTTAGATAATTTCAATTTATTTATTTATTTTGTAATGTTATGTAATTCGACAAAATAGCGAAAATTAAAATTGATTGTAAATTTTTAAAATAAAAATAAATTTTTAAAATAAAATAAAATATAAATAAGATAAATTTTTTAAGGAAAATTTTTTTTATTTTTTTGAATAATGAAAATTATAATAAATTTTATAATAAATTAAATTTTAAAATAAAGTTTGAAAGAAAAAATTTCAGGCTTACCAACAAAGTAGTACCACAAAATATGGTTTTATTGCATTAATACTTGTTGTTAATGTTTTAAGATTTATGGCTTTGCTTTGTTTATCGACTTCGGAAGATCACATTTACCTGCCCTGCGGATCAATTTAAATAATATGGTTGCGTAAAAAAAAAAAAAAAAAAAAGAAATGATAAATGATTCAATTTGACGACTTGAAAAATGTATTGTAAAATTTTTCAATTGTTGGTTTCAGATCTCCTGAATGTTCGCCGATTGATAACTGATAATTTTAGAATTGACTATGCTAATAAAATTTCCGATGTTGTTTTATTCAAAAAATTGGCGAGTGCTGGTACTGACGATCCATCCGCAGGAATATAGAAATATAGAAGTCAAAAAATCGAATCAAATTTAGACTATTTTTGAACTATCTGTCTGGAAAAAAATAAAAATATATTATTATATAAATATATAATATACAATTTATTTTTCAATTTATTTCATATTTCAAAAAATTTTTTCGAAAAAAAATTCTTTTATTAGAAATGAAAAGAAATATTCCAAACTATAGGATATGAATAATAAATAATAAATAAATTTCTATTGTTTGTTGAATAAATCGAAGTCGAAATTGAAATATTAAAATAGTTTTCTAAAAAAATGATTAATTATTTACGAGTTTATTTATTTATTTGTTTGAATTTTTTTTTTTGAAAAAATTTGATAAGATTCATTTTTTATTGCAAAAATTCATATTTATCGACAGAATTTGAAGTTTTAGATTTTTTTAAATTTTTTAATAAAATATTGAAATTTTCTATTTTTATCATTGCAACGATTTCGCTTAAATGTCGAATATCAAATAAATTTATTAATAATTCGATGGTAACATTGGCCAACATTTAAAAATTTACAAATAAGGCCTATTTGGTTTGAACCACTGAGATTTTTGCTCACACAACTTTTCCCAAAAACGTATTGAAGTAACTGTGTTTATTAGT